GCAATGAAGATTAATGATGGAGCTGATAAAACACAGGTTGTGTTTTAGCAGTTCTGCCATAGGATTTTTTTGCTACATTTTCTTTCTTCATTTTTTGTGATGAAACACAACACACATTCCAATGTAGATGCTGTGATAATTTACAATGGAATATTTTTTTGTTTCAATTATATACATCTATTTTGTAATTGAATGCGTTTAAATAATGAAAGGTTTAATCATTAAATGAATGTTTCTGTAAAATGGTGTCTGAGGGTCTGACAAAGCACTGTGTTAGTGTGAAATGCATGAACCATCCACCCCTCCCCTGCTATTGCTTGTTTGGTGCTTTCATACTACTGTGATTGAATATTTACAGGTGTGCAGCCTTTCCTTAACTTATTACTTGCAATTAATGTCTTATATAATGGTGTATCAATAGATGTTCACTGTTTGAGAAAGCACTGTGCCAAAACATGTCAGAATACCATTTGTTCCTGCTGGCTATACTGGTAAAGAAAGGTTTTGGTGTGTGCAGCATTTATAACTAGCATTTACAGTAGGGTTCAGACATAAGGGCTTTGCACACAAAACAAAATGCTTTCCCCCAAACACAACAGCTAGCCAGTAAAAAAAAACAAAAAAAAAAAAAAAACCCATAAGCAAATTACACCATCTAGCAATTTTGCCTTAACCACTTGCCCTCCCCCCTTCCTGACCAGGCCAATTTTTGCGATACGGCACTGCTTTACTTTAACGGACAATTGCGCGGTTACGCAACACTGCACCCAAATGAAATTTACGTCCTTTTTCCCCCCACAAATCTAGCTTTCTTTTAGTGGTATTTGATGGCCTGTGCATTTTTATTTTTTGCGCTATAAACAAAAAAGGAAAATTTTGAAAAAAATTTTTGGGGAATTTTTGCTATTAAACGTATCCAGTAAAAAAATTTTAAATCAAATTTCATCATAAATTTAGGCCAAAATGTATTCTGCTACATGTCTTTGCTAAAAAAAAAAAATCCCAATACGTGTAAATTAATTGGTTTACGTAAAAGTTATAGCATCTACAAATGGCGGCATCGATACTGGAATTGTTATTTTATACTAGTAATGGCGGCGATCAGCGACTTATAGCAGGACTGTGGTGACACCAATACAGTGATCAGTGCTAATAAAAAGCACTGACACTGTACTAATGACACTAGGCAGGAAGGTGTTAATATGTGGGGTGATCAAAGGGTTTACTGTGTGCTGTGTGTTTTACAGTGTGCTGTGCTTTACTGTGTAAGCATGCTGCTTTGTATTGCTCTGCTATGCGCATGCCCTCTACCTGGAAATACAAAATCACGTATATATACATGATTTTGCGTAGTTCTACTATAGGGAGGTCGGGAAGCGGTTTAAAACAGATTTTAATTGCACAACATATGTAAATACATGTGGAAGTCAAACTGCCTTGTCAAGGCCCCTCTGTATAGTGCAGTTTTCTTAGTCAACAACAGCAGCCAGTGAGGAGGGAGCAAGGGGTGGGGCCAAGCCATGCTCTGTATGTTATAAGGACACACGGAGTTGGCTTAGGAGCAAGCACATGCGTGCCCCCATAGCAAGCAGCTTGCTTATAGGGGCACTCGATATGGGGGAGGGGGGGGGGGGGTTGTGTGCCAGAGGTGCTGCTGGGGCCCAAGAAATGGAGGATTGGGGCTGCTCTGAGCAAAATCATTGCACAGTATAACATATTTGTTATTTAAAAAAAATATTTGAGCCTTTAGAATCACCCATTAGAGGAAGTAGTAAATGCTCACTTATATTTTTTGTTATTTTTATTCTTAAATTTGTATCGAAATGTATTTTTGGATTGATTCAATGCAGTTTTATCTTTTATATTTATTAATAGTTAAGATTATGTCATGTGTATTGTGATGTGAGTGGATATTTATTCAACCCCTTTGCGCCAGCGCCTCCCGGCCCTTTAATAGTTTCAGAAAGCGGGAGGCGGGGTGGGGTTTTAGTATCATGGGGTGGGGTTTTAGGGTCATGTGACTGCTGTGATTCGCTGTCATGGCAGTCACATGATTGGAAAAGGTCCCAATCACAAGGGGAGAACGGGACGTTTCCGTGAGTCACGGACATTTGTGCTGGGAGCGCACAGGGGGCGCACTCTCAGCGCATATGTATTTTCAAATGGTACGCAAATAAGCAGCCGCTCGGTGTCAAGACCCAGACGCTGAGAGGCTGCATATTTGCATGCGATTGGCGTCTAGTGGTTAAAATAGCAGCTTTCCTTTATAAAGCCCCAAATATTCACAAAATATTCAAAGCCTGTAATGTGTATTTTAAAACACAGCAAAACACTACTTGAGGAGCAAAATGGAACTTTCAGGGTTGGATTTTCATTATAGAAGCCTATAGGTTCACAAATATGGCACCCAAAGCAGCACTCCTCTTATAAGATTACCTCTGATACTTCGGGCTTTGCCTAGTTTTTTTGGTCCTAACCCAGAAAAAGATGTAAATAAATGTATATGAGATTACTATTTTTGGCTGATGGAAAAAAAAATGTGGTCAATAATTATATTGGTTTAAACCTACGTGCAGAGTTTATGGCTGGTAAAACATATGACTGTGTATTGCAATGATATATGGCAATGTACAATCTGTGCTGTAGTGCCGCTCACCTTCACCTGCCAAGGCGCACCCCAACCCTGTGCATTTTAGCACATTGCAACACACACATGTGAATCATCCGGACATTGTGGTTGGATGCATTGAAAAATGATGACATGTCTGGTTTCATGTGCTTTGTTAGCCTATTTAAAATGAATGGGCTGTCCTATAGCAAAGCACAGCACTGAGCAAAATACTGCATGTAAACACATGTAATGTACTGATCAGGTGTGAAGAAGGCCTTATGCAGGGAAAAGCTATTTCTTTGCCTCTGCCACCTATAGACACAAGCCTATTGTGCTTAAAGGTTAATCTGGCCTTGGGTGCAAGTTAACTAACTGCAGCATATATAAATGTCAACAATCTGATCCTGTATTTCATCACATCCAATGCAAAGGATCTTCAAATAAACGTATGTTTTAGTGGGTGTCAACTTCATTCTAAAAGGAAACCTGTACTGTAAAAAAACAAAACAAAAAAAACGAGGCTGCCAGTTTTGACCTCTCATTCTGGAAATGCCAGTTACCTGCCAATGGCTTCTGTACTTTTTGAATCACTTACCTTAATCAAGTTCAGATAAGGATTTTTGACTTTCTTGGAGACATGTTTTCCCCGAGTCTATAGCTGAGATATTAACAAATACAGAGACAGCCAGCATTCTCAGGAGATTGGCAATGGTAGCTTTCATATTTCTTCTCCTATGTCCCAAGTTTCAGGAGATGGAGGCCTGAACAATTTGGGTCAAACCAACCTATCCTCTACTGAAGCTGCACATCTTCTGCTCAACAACAAGCCCAATCCCTCCTTCAGTCCACATTTGTTCTTTGAAACCTGTGTTTAATGATCCCCATTCAGTCTTTAACCACATTCCAATGGGTTACTAGAAACATTTGGTCCACATATTAGTCAAATATATTTCTTATAAAAATAAACATGTATGTTATGTATAAAATAACAAATAAGCATTTTATTATTAGATCAAATTGCACAATACAAACAGGCCAGTTTCTTTAGCGTAATACTGTCATGTGAGGATTTTTTTTTTTACCTTCTTTTTCATTTTCAGTCTATGAAAATGATAAAGAATCTGCAAGAGATGATCTGTGACATAACATACATTTAGTTTCTCGTGTCTTTCTGTCCAAATAGGTATGTCCTATGGAAGTTAAAATAAAGGCTAAATCATACAGTTTTTATAAAAAATGGTCAAAAATACATTTTGCTTATAGATGAAATTACTGTTACATATAGCATCATGAAACAGGATTACAAATTTTATTTACAAAAACCCTATGTTCAGATGAATTATTGTACAAAGGCAATAAATAACCTTATTGTATATAGAACCTTATTGTACCTTATTTAAAAAAAAAAAAAAAAAAAAAAAAAAAAAACACTAGAAGGGCCATTTAGCATTCAGTCACAGTAGTTAAAATGTTATTTCTGTAGATAAACAGTGTAGCTGATGAACCAAAAATTTGAGAAGGTTGCCTCCAATGCAAAGTGCAAAGAAAAATGGCTTTCCAGTTTGAGGCATGCGGAATTGGATGGCCCTGCGACATTATCTTACAGATCCAAAATATGAGAGGACATTTTTTTTTTCTCATCTTTAGAAAGAAATATTCACAAAAATACATAGTGCTATTTACACTATAATACCAAACCTCTTCAGAAAAATCATAGCACCCAAAATACTCTGCAACCTCAGTCTGCTTCTGTAATCTGGATCTTTGCTGACAATGAAGTACTGGGCTCTCTGCTTTGACAGCCGTCACGTGGCCCTGCTTGCGATACAAATGCTGATATGGCAGCCAAACCAACGATCAAGGCTCTTAAGATTGTAAGGTTGGAGAACTTGAAACAAGTGGGTGGCTGAACTGCTTTTCTTTTGCCTGTAGAGTAGAACCGCTTGGATACAAGCTACCGCTGTGAAATCCTAATCACTGAAAGGCTGAACACCACAATATTCACACCCAAAGGAAGGATTATCATTTCACTTTCACACCAGGTGGGGACTTGTTATCCGGATTTGTAGCAGAGGCCCTTTATGCTGTGCTTCAAATACATCTGAAGCATATTTATCATTTTAAGCATACAAGCTCTGCTCGGCTTTGATTCCATTAATTCCACAAACACACGGAAGAGTTCTCATTAATAAGAATAAAAATGTATTTGGAAAAAAAATGTATATAAAGAAAAAACAAAGGTAAGGCTTCAAATATTTTAGTGATGGTTTCTTGGAAACCACTGAAAACAAGTCGTCTCACACCCATTAGAAGTGTCAGTTGTGTAACCAGCCGCTTGTGACTGTCGGTAATACTGCTGTGATTTCAGTCTGCAGAGCTTGGCTGCTTATTAAGAAATAATGCAATCGTAGCTCCCTTCCTGAAAGGCCTCCTCTTGCTCCTGTCTAGACACATTCTCCTCGTGTCTGCTGACATTACAGCTGCCCAGGTCACTCTGAGGGCTGGCACTGTGGCTGGTTGAGCTGCGGCTCTCCTCTGCCCTGGGGCTAGATTGTTCTGTGACCTTTGAGATGACTGTGGGCTGAAACACTTCAGGCTGCACTTGTTCCACTGCTACTTCGCTCAGTTTCTGGAGCTGAGGTTTTATGATATTTAAAAATGGCTTATATCCAGGGCTGAAAATGAACAAACATATACAACATAAGGACCAGATTCCTAGTAGAAGTGCATTATGTCAAGTTAGATACACAAAGAATGGCACTTAAAGTGTTACTAAACCCACAACAGTAAAATCAGTCTGTATATGCAGTAAAGCATGCTTGTTATACTGACTGTGGAACCTAAGGGGTTAATCTTCAGCCTTGTGTAAAAAGGCTGTTTGATCCTTTCTTCTCTGATCCTCTCCTTCTACTGTCCACAGCTTATCTCCTGATAAGGCAGACTGAACCGTAGATATTTGCACATGCTCAGTTTAGTGTGGTTTTTTTTTTTCTTGGGAGAGTGCATGTGGTCAGCACAGGGCCAATCAGCACTGTCCAGACAGAGGTCAGGGGTTTTGCATCCTCCTAGAGCAGAAAGAAAACTCCTCCTAAAAGCGTTAACCAGTGCTCTGCTGAACATTAATAAAATAGAATTGCATTTCCATGTTGTGTGTACTGTGGGAGACCAGATATAGTGAATGTAGGGTCCTGGGTTTAGTAACACTTTAACCTTTCTGTCACCAGGAGTTTTGCCTGTTTACCTCATAAAAGAAGTTAAAGAGCAACTCCAAACAACAATTACTTAATAGAAATTAACTGTCTTACAAGAAAATCTAACCCCCAAAATTTCTTTCAAAGTGTCCAATTTTAAATCTTACACAATTTGTTTGCAGGCATCTAAGTTGAACATTAACCTACCCAGAAGCAGTGCTCTCTGAAGAATGGAGATGACCCTGGGTGTGAAAAAAATTATTTTCTGGCCAACTATTGGCTTCCAACATTAAAATAAGGTGGTCCAGAGGCATGCATAACTAATGCAGCTCATAGACAAGTCAGTTTTTTTTTGTTCAATCAGCGGGCTGAACCAAAAAAAAAAAAAAAAGACCCAATTTCACCATCCACACATTGATAGTGGATAGGGGAATCCTCTCTGCTGTGCCTTTGTATTCTGACAGTAGGTAGACTTCTCTGCCATTAGAATACACTGATCAGACTATAGCCTGTGGCACTATTCAGGAAGAAATTTTCAACAGGCTGATTGAACAGAAGTCGAGATTGACTTCTGTTCAACCACAGTGCGCATTCATGAATCAACATTCAGCCAGTCCCTCCTGAACCAGTTGAATTTTGATCCATGTATGGCCAGCTTTAATTTCTTTACCAGTAGATGCTATATAGTCTAGTGCAGGGGTCCTCAAACTATGGCCTGCGGGTCACATGCGGCCCTCCGAGGCCATTTATCCGGCCCGCCGGCAGGGGCGTATTTTCCACGAGGAAGGAACACTAAGTACAGGGGCAGGCAGGGGGCTGCTGTACCTTACCTGGCTCCGGTCCCAGTCCCACAACGATCCAGTCCAGGAAGCGCTGCTCCTTCATTCACTCTGGCAACTCCCTCACTCCTGCCGCTCGGCTCCACCTCCTCACCAGTGATTGGGCGCCAGAACTGTAGCTCAGGAAAGGCACACAGGTGGCCAATCACCGGCAAGGAGGCGGAGCGGCCCCACCAACATCGAGTGAGAGAGAGGCCGGAGTGAAGGAGGACAGCTGACAGGTAAGTGTGCCGTGCTGATGGTGCTGCTGTAACCAGGTATGCTAGCTGCAGCAGCACCATGCTGGAGCAGGGGTCAGCAAGTTAAGTGTCATTGGTGTCAGTGGGAGGAATAGTGCCCCATCCTTGGTGTCACTGATACTAATGATGGGGCATTATTCCTCCCCCCACTGACACCAACAATGGGGCACTATTCCTCCCCCCCCCACTGACACCAACGATGGGGCACTATTCCACCCCCCACTGACACCAACGATGGGGTACTATTCCTCCCACTGACACCAATGTTGGGACACTATCCCCCCCACTGACACCAATGATGGGGCACTATTCCCCCCACTGACACCAATGACGTACTATTCCTCCCACTGACACCAAAGATGGGGCACTATTCTTCCCACTTACACCAAAGATGGGACACTATTCCTCCCACTGACACCAATGATGGGGCACGTTTCTTCCCACTGACACCAATGATGGGGCACTATTCCTCCCCTCACTGACACTAATGATGGGGCACTATTCCTCCCCCCACTGACACTAATTATGGGGCACTATTCTTCCCCCCACTGACACTAATGATGGGGCACTATTCCTCCCCCCTCTGACACCAATGATGGGGCACGTTTCTTCCCACTGACACCAATGATGGGGCACGTTTCTTCCCACTGACACCAATGATGGGGCACTATTCCTCCCACTGACACCAATGATGAGGCACAATTTCGCTCCATAAGACACACTTGGGGGGAAATGTCTGTGCGTACTATGGAGCGGCCGGCCCAGTATTCCCGCCGCCGTTGTATGTCCGCAGTCTCTGGTCATCTCCTGTACTGCGTCCACATTTGTTCATAGTTTTTTTTTTTTTTTTTAACTATAGTCCGGCCCTCCAACGGTCTGAGGGACAGTGAACTGGCCCCCTGTTTAAAAAGTTTGAGGACCCCTGGTCTAGTGCCTTGGTTTACCTTGTACAATTACAGGATTTAAAAACTGCACACTGGATAGGTATGCATTGCTCAGTATTTTTAGGCTAGATTTGAGGACTTGACTGTCAATTCAAGGCATACATAAAGCCAAAACTTTTTTCGAGAAAAAAACAAATGTATAAAATAACCAAAACCGGTCAGGTTTTTTTCAGCCATCTGTGTCCCATTTGAGAGATTTACCTTTACTTTCTGTGCTCTAGACACAACTGGATATGAGGAAATCTCTCCAAAGTGAAGGAGATTCCCTCTTGGACAGATGTACAAATAGAGAGGGTAAATTGTCCAATGACATACAGCAATAAAACTTGGCACAGGTTCTAAACCATCATGAATATACTTAAAACATACAAAATGGCTTCAGAAACAAAAAAAAAAAAAAAAACAGTTCACAACACTGTAGTCCATAAAAGCCATCTTTAGTTCAAAACACTAAAGAAAGAAGAAAATGGGATTTTGAGTTTATCTGTACAATGCACATGACGTGGGGTATATTCATATCCATTACAATAGATTAAGCTGCCACCCTTGGTTGACTGGACACTGGCAAAAGGAAAAAAAAAACAAGAGATAGGACGTCCCATCATAGGCATAATCCCCACCCAGCTAAGCTTGGGCAAGTCCGGAAAATTGAACTCACCAGATTCCTTCCATTTGAATACTGTAAAGAAGATAAGGTAGAAGCTGTAATGCTAGGAAGGCATAAATTAGGAAGAACTGGCCCCAGAGCCTCACCAGAGCATCCACCACAAACGCTTAAGGATCCCTGGTCCTGGATATGAATTTGTCCAGCTTTGCATTGAATATGGACCCCAGAACATCCACATCTGGGGTTCCCCACTGTGGACAGAGTTCCTTGAACACCTTTGGGTGAAGAATCCACTCACCGAAGACAGATGTTGATGGATTAGGAAACCTACCTGACAATTTTCCAAGCCTGGAATGTGTACAACAGTGTGGGAATATAAAGTTCCACCAAAGACATGATGAAATTTACTTCTGAGCAACCCAATTTCTGGTGCCTTCTTGATGATTTATGTATGCCACCACTGTGGCATTGTCTAAACTGAACTCTTACAGGGAAGTCTTTCACTTGCACCAACCAGTGCAGCAGGGAAAGGCAAATATGTACTCAATTCCAGGACGCTGGTGGACAACAACCTCTTCTGCAATGACCAAGTCCCCTGGGCTGAGAGATTGTCTAGAACTCCACTCCAGTCCATCGTTAGGACCCTCCAGGATAAAGGGAGAAAAGTTTTTCCCATATCTAGCATCCATTAGGAGACTCACTAGAGACTGTCTTGTGCTGGGGTGTAGCAGAATTAGGGAGTGCGGTGACTGTGTTCTCCTGTCCCATGCTGCCAAGATATTCTGTTGGAGGTGCCTGGAATGAAACTGAGCAAAGGGCACTGCCTCCAAGGAGGCTACCATCTTCCCAGAGCCCTTATGCAAAAAAGTGTATTCAGGGATCTGTCACTGTCTTGAGCATGTCCACGTGAGCCTTCAGAACAAGACATTTGTTGGGAGGCAGGATCACTCTCATGCGGATGTTATCCAGGGCCAAACCTAAATATTCTAACCTCTGAGTTGGGACCAAGACCGACTTCTGCAAATTCAGAGCCCATCCAAACCTCACCAGAGTGTGCACTGTGTGAGATACATTGGTCTCCAGTAGCAAAGCAAATTGCTCCTTCAAACTGCTCCTTCAAACATAAGCTGTTCAGGTACCTTATAAGAGGAATACCCAGGAGCCCCAGGATTGGAGCCAGGACCTTGCTCAGAACTCTGGGAACTGTGTACAGGCTAAATGCCAGGGTCACAGACTAAAATTGGCAATCCTCCACCTGCAAACCACAGAAACCTTTGGTGAGGTGGAAAGACTGGAAGTACAAACAGGTATTCTTGATATCCACTGATGCTAGGAAATCTCCCTGCTCAAAGACCGCACCAACTGCATCCAGAACTTTTGCACTCAGAGAAACTTGTTGAGTCTCTTGCGATTCAGAACGGGGTGAACATTGTCATTCGGTTCAGAACTGTGAAGAGGTTTGAGCAAACAGAAAAATCTTTCACCCTCTTAACCAGGATGATCACTCCTTGAGACAGAAGACTGAGAGCTTGAAAGACAGAAAATATTTTTTATGGATTCAAATAAACATAGCGCAAACGGGGAAGGCTCTGAAGTTCTAGTTAGTAACCTCAAGCCATTATGTTCCAGACAGACTCATCCGCAGTCTCCCCCTGCCAAATATCCACGAAGGCCTGCAAACATCTCCCCACCAGAGTGCGTAGGGGCACCACTTCATTGTAAGTAGGACTTGTCCCCAGGCTTAGAGGACTTTGGAGTCCATGTCTTCTTGAAGAACTGGGACTATGGTTTGTGATTGAAGCCCAAGGCCTGAGAATGGTGATAGGACTATTTTTTGGAGGCATGAATGGCAGATTTTGAACTGTAGGCTTTCACATTTTTTAAACAGTAACTGCACTTTTACCCACAATCACATTCTGGATGTAATCATCCAAAGCAGGATCAAGCAAATGTTTCACATGCTTCTTGTAGGGTAACTCCAATGACCAACACTTTAGCCATAAGACCCTGTGCATGTGTACAGACCCCTAAAACGAGAAAGTTGAATGTCACCCTTCAAGTTGAACAAAGCTGCAGTCAAGGTATTCAGGGACAAAATCCAATATGTCTCCTGTTTGCACAATTCCTTAAATCTTTAAGCCCCAGAGTAAGTTTTGGAAACCTGGTCTATAATCCTACTGTAGATTTAGCATGCACCAGCCGCCTTCTTGACGAACTCTATAAGCGACTAAGGACTGATTGATATGCTTGTTAACTCCCACCTGTTAGTGCATTTTAACTCTTTCTTTACTGGTTTTAATAAATTAATACACTTAGATGGTGGCACCTTCTGTTTACTTGTCTTTTCAGTCTACAGAGAATATCCAATACTCTGCTGGAAGAGCTGCAAACATTGGACAGTGGGCTTTTAATATTCTGAATTTTTATATTGACAGTTACTTTAATACCCTTGAGGTTTACCTCCTCCTTTTCTCTATCTGCGCCATTGAGCTTTTTGTTTCTCTTTACCAATGGATCTGGTAAAGGCAGTCTCCTAATCACAGATAGATCCTTTTCAGAAGCTGGCGATTTTTGTGCAGAGACTGAACGTTCAATTCCATCACCTAAAACACTAGCTTTGCCTAGCTGGAAAGGTTTTCACCTAGAAGGGGACTTCCTGCCTATTTTTTGCCAGTGTCCAATTACCTGAAAGTGACAGCATAACAGATCGCAATGGATGAATGAAAATACACTGTGTCCTGGAATGTACAATAAAGAAAATACCAGTTTGCGATAGGCTGCACAGACCATTCTTTTTCAGATATGGCTTAGAGATATAGCTGATTACAGAATCATTTACAAAAATTTGTGAAAAAAATCTGGAAATTTGGGGTATGATTTCACAATAAAGAAAAAACTACTTAAAATGTTAAAGCTATTTTATTGTGGAACCATGTAAAAAGACTTTTGATGATGTCAGATATATTCTGCGTTCTGTGCACATTCCAGCCAACAATCCACAGCTTTATACTCACCAGTCAGTTGTGGCCCAAGTATCCACTGCTTGAAGCCCGGTTAGTATACCCTGTAACATTTCTTCTGCAACTTCAGGGCATTGCATAAGATTTAAAACCTGGTTAATAATGGATGACTCTCGCAGTATAAGGCCAATGACCACACACCACTCCAGGCATCCCGCTTCCATAAACACGTGAAGCAAATATCTGTATAAACACAGAACCAAAAATTTGTACATTAAAAAACAAACCCAACACTCAATACAAATGCAGTTACTATTAGGCTGGGTACACACGATAAGAAAACCAGCCAATTCCGACTAGAACATTTTTATCGTACGTCTGATTTTCACTCAATGTGTACAGTAATCGTATAGAAATAAAGGAAAAAAAAATGCACATGATCAGATGCAAAGAATGAAAGAAAGTGGCAATGAACATAGAGATCGTACCCAAGAAAGAACATTTGCCTTTGTTGCGCGAGAATTTTCATACAAGTTAATATCATTGTCGGTTACTTCATGATTTGCACCTACATTTTGCTCCCCAAACCAGAATTGTGTTGTGACTATTTGCAGAATGTTTTGTACAACCCCCCTCCCATTTTCTGGTACAAAAAAAAAAAAACCTAACACCTCTGCAAACAAGCATTATATTATGTATTCATAATCCCAAGAATTGTATATATGAAAATAAAAATATAAGAATGACCATTTGCTCATTTGTAGTTTCATTATCGTTTTATTTTATCCTGCAAAACATTATTTTACTTCCCAGGGTAAATATGGCTTCCTCTCTACTAAGTTTCCTAGGTGTACCTTTGGTGTTGGAGGGTTGACATAAATACAGTCATTTCCAAATACACTTTCCCAAAGGAAAGTAAATTCTGGGTGAGAATCCACCAAGGGAAGGAAATACTCACATTACATTCATTATCTTAGTGTTTTCCTTCCTTCTGGAACAATCTAAGTGTAGTTGTGAGTGAATTTGCCCCCTAGCCCAGGTTATACAAAGCTGCTGCTTACCGTAATTGAACTTGTGATTTGTGAGGTCCCTTATTGGCCAGTTCCATTGAAATGTGTTCAAGCTCTGACTGGGTCAGACTTAGGGTGGAGAAGTTCTCATCAACCATGGTCCAGTCCCCGTCCACCATAGAGCTGGTCTCAGTCAGGTCAGTTGCAGATCCAATACTACATTCATCTCCTGTAGACCATACATTTGGGTCAGAATATTGATATTAACAGATTTAAAGTCCACTATAAACTGGGATTTATGGATTTTGATTACCAGACAATAAAAAGGAAAACCACCAATTTTAATATGTATCGGACAAGTATATAACCTTTATCAACAAACTAACACTAAAAAGGGACAACAAAAACATAACCTCAAAGGACCAGGGGGAGGGGGGGTGCAGTGCTAGCAATGCATTCACCATGCAAACGGAACATTTTTCAGTATAACTTTTTTTTTTATGATCTTCTTTCGAAACACATTCATTAACAGGACAAAATGTTCACAGCAGAGATCAGTATCAGATAAATCCTCTCCTGCAGCTGTGGGAAGCAGATAAACCGCATGTGTTCACTCCTACTCTACTAGAAGAATTCTTGATAGCAATTCTGCTTCTGTCAGTGGTGAGCTTAACAAAAGAAAATACAAGGCTGAGACATCACAGCTTCTCAGCTTTATTCGAAAGTACCAGATATGCTTGGTTTCTTACAATGCGTAGCAGCTATGCACTGAAAAAAGTGAGATGCCCATCACTTCCATAAACTACCAGATAATTAAACAATGCTGCTAACTCATACTTTTTATGATGGACACATATTCTAATCTAGGGCATGGATCAAGAGCTTCCAAAATGTCCTCGCCTTTGGCCCAATCCTTCATTCTTTCACAGTATAGGCTTGTTCAAAGTACCCCGTGTTTGTTGCTGTCATCCACAGTACAGCTATACCCCTTTTTTTAGCCTTTGAGGTATTTGAGCAGATTTGCTGATGTAAAAGGGAGAGAACAAGTGGCTCCAAATAATTTAACACTAACGTTTCAGTGAATAGCTTTTTCAATTCACTGAAAAGTGTCAAACGTTTGAGTGTCTTTGAGGTATCGAGGAACACTAAAAGACGAAGACAATGCTAATCAGAAATACATGCTAAAAGAACAAGGTATTTGGGAAAGAAACAATTTAAGAAGAATTTACCAGCCTGAAGACTGAGAATAGAAAACCAGAACTGGGATATTGAACTCAGGGCAGTGTAAAAAAGAATCATATGTCACTGGGATCAAGTAAGAATGAATGAAAGCAGAAAAAAGAAAGTCCTGTAGAAATCAGGGAGTAATGAACTTCATATACACTGCTACAAAAAATTAAAGGAACACATCAGATCTTAATAGGGAAAAATCTCATGCTGATTATCTATATGGATATGGACGGGGTAATGTGGTTAGGAAGATAAGGATGCCCCATTGTTTGATAATGAAATGAAAATGATCAACCTACAGAGGACTGAATTCATACACACCCTGAAAATCAAAGAGAAAAAATGATTCAGCAGGCTAGTCCATTTTGCTGAAATTTTATTGCAGCCACTCAGAATGGTACTCAGTAGTTTGTATGGCCCCCACGTGCTTGTATGCATGCCACACAATGTCGGGTCATGCTCCTAATGAGACAACGGGTGACGTACTGGGGTATTTCCTCCCAGATCTGGACCAGGGCATCACTGAGCTCCTGAACAGTCTGAGGTGCAACCTGGCGGCATAAGATGGACCAAAACATGATATCCCAGAGGTGTTCTATTGGATTTAGGTCAGGCGAGCATGAGGGCCATTCAATGGTATCAATTCCTTCATCCTCCAAGAACTGCCTGCATACTCTAACCACATGAGGCCAGGCTATTGTCTAGCCCAGGGGTGGGCAAACTGCGGCTCTCCAGCTGTTGCAGGACTACAAGTTCCATCATGCCTCTGCAAGTCATAGCCGTAACTGTCAGTTTTGTAATGTTGCAATGCCTCATGGGAAATGTAGTTCCACAACAGCTGGAGAGCCGCAGTTTGCCCACCCCTGGTCTAGCCTGTAGGTCTGTACATCCCTCCATGGATATGCCTGCCCAGACTATCACTGACCCACCACCAAAACGTTCATGTTAAATGATATTACAGGCAGCAAAACATTCTAAACGGCTTCTCCAGACCCTTTCACATCTGTCACATGTGCTCAGGGTGAACCCGCTCTCATCTGTGAAAAGCACAGGGTGCCAGTGGTGGACCTGCCAATTCTGGTGTTCAATGGCAAATGCCAATCAAACTCTATGGTGCTGGGCAGTGAGCACGGGGCCCACTAAAAAGGACATGGGGCACTCAGGCCACCCTCATGAAGTCTGTTTCTAATTGTTTGGTCAGAGACATTCACACCAGTGGCCTTCTGGAGGTCATTTTGTAGGGCTCTGGCAGTGCTCATCCTGTTCCTCCTTGCACAAAGGAGCAGATACCAGTCCTGCTGATGCCTTAAGGACCTTATATGGCTCTGTCCAGCACTCCTAGAGTAACTGCTTAACTGCCTGTCTTCTGGAATCTCCTCCATGCTCTTGAGACTGTGCTGGGAGACACAGCAAACCTTCTGGCAATGGCACATATTGATGTGCCATCATGGAGGAGTTGGGCTGCCTGTGCAACCTCTGTAGGGTCCAGGTATTGACTCATGCTACCAGTAGCGACAGTGACCCTAACCAAGTGCAAAACTAGTGATAAACAGTCAGAAAAGATGAGTAGGGGGAAAAATGTCAGTGGCCAGCATCTGTAAAACCATTCCTGTTTTGGGGGTTGTCTCACTGTTGCCCATTTAGTGTACCTGTTGTTAATTTCATTAACACCAAAGCAGCCAAAACTGATTAACAACCCCCTCTGCTATTTAACTGACCAGATCAACATCCCAGTAGTTTAATTGACTTGATGCTATACTCTGATTAAAAAGTGTTCCTTTAACTTTTTGAGCAGTGTATAATACATCTGTAAAACCTGAGTGGGAAAGATAAAGGAAAAACCAAATAAAATTCCTCCCAAAAGATGTGAGAGCTCCTAGCATTTCAAAATCAAACATTTGACATTCTGGAAATGCTCGTATAAAAAGTATTTTCTAGTTCATTTGTGTCCATAGTTTATCAACAGTACAAAATTATCTAGTATCTGAAAGGTTCACTGACCTTTATTTAATAATGGAGAAAGGAAAGCGTCCTGGGTGTGAGGGCTGTGGGAAGAGGCCGTGTCCATCTCTCTCTGGGTGGTCCCAATACTACCCATCCAACTGTGACTTCGAGGAGCACTAGGTCCACCGCTGTCCATGTCCATGTTTAAGAAGTTTTCTGCAGATTGGGACTTAAGGAACTGATCTCCAATCACTGCGTAAAATAGCAACACACCATTTGTTACTAAGCACATATGAGAAAAATTTTAACGCAATATATACGTATAAAAACACACACAGACACAAACACACACAGTATTCCATTTTAAGTCCAATACTGTATCACAGACTTGCATACAACTTTGAATGTGTGTGTATATATATCTATAGTGCCAAGAAACTATCCCCAATACCATTACACCACCACCATCAGCCTGAACCGTTGATACAAGGCAGTATGGAGCCATGCTTTTGTGTTGTTTACACCAAATTCTGACTCTACCGTCTGAATGTCACAGCTGAAATCGAATGACCATTCTCCTCGGACTTCAACAAGGCATTTTCGTCCACACAAAACTGCCCCTCACTGGATATTTCCTCTTTTTCAGACCATTCCCTGTAAACCCTAGAGATGGTTGTATGTGAAAATCCCAGTAGCTCAGAAGTTTTTGAAACACTCAGACCAGCCCATTTGGCACCAACAACCATGCTACATTCAAAGTCACTTAAATTACCTTTCTTCCCCATTCTAATGCTCAGTTTGAACTTCAACAAGTTGTCTTCACCACGTTTAGATGCTAAATGCATTGAGTTGCTGACATGTGATTGGCGGATTAGCAATTTGTGTTACCAAGCAAATGAACAGGTGTACCTAATAAAGTGGCTGGTGAGTGCGCACAGACACACGATAATACTTTAAAATCGAGGACTACAAAAGGCTCCCATTACATCCAGAAGGACACAGTAGATCAAGAAGGCACACAGGGTGCATACCTGCCCGGAACTTGCCATTTTTAAGTGGAGAGCTGATAGATGAGGCTGGGATAACTGGGAATGGCCACAGGAAATCCTTGTGAAGTTTCTTCAAGGCAGTGACAAAGTCTTCCACCCGTGCAGCACGTGTTCGCTCTTTGCATAGCCAGCCTATTAACTCAAAGCCCAGCTGAGCAGAAAAGCAGCCAAGGTCTTTGAGTCTGATCTCCTCCAGCAGTCTCCGGGCATGCCGCCACAGCATCATATCTATGTACATGTTCTCTGCACAGTCACTGTCTTTACTTAACCTAAACAAAGAACAATCAGACTGTAACACAAACAGACCAAGCCACAACAGACCTAAAGAAGAGACCTCATCTTTTGCTTTAACCACTTGCCTCCGGGGCAATTTAATGTTTTGCACCCCTCAAAAACAAATTTTTTTTGCTAGAAAATTACTAAGAACCCCAAACATTATATATTATCTGAAAGCAGAGGCCCTGAAAAAAATAAATGTTACAATTTATTATAAAAGATATTGGCTTAGCCGTTTATCAAACTCAAATTTTCAGGAAAACAATTCGATTAAGTCTCAAATTCCTCCTCTGGCTACTTTAAAGTGTTACTAAACCCACAACAATAAAATCAAGTCTGTATATGCAGTAAAGCATGCTTCTTATAATCACTGTGGAATCTAAGGGGTTAATCCTCAGTGTAAAAAGGCTGTTTGATCCTGTCTTCTCTGATCCTTACCTTCTCCTACTGTCCCCAATCCATCTGCTCATAGTACAGTGCTCTAGGAGTCACTCTGCACATGCTCAGTTTAGTCTGTACTGCTAGAGAGTTTTCTTTTTCTTTGGGAGGGTGCATGAGATCAGCACTGTCCAGACAGAGGGTCAGGGGTTATACAACCTCATAGGACAGGCATAGCAGAAGGAAAACGCCTCCTACAAGCTTTAACCAGTACTCTGCTGAACACTGATAGAAGTCACTAGACTGCTATATACTGCTGAAGAGAAAAGGTATTTAGCAGTTTATATTTACTAAAATAATTAAATAAATAATTAAAATAATTAAAAATTGCATTTCCATGTTCTGTTTACTGTGGGAGATCAGATATAGTGAATGCAGGGTCCTGGGTTTAGTAACACTTTAAAGTACTGCACTTGTGACTGCATTAAACCTGACCCTGAAATCCGTCTTATCTGTCTTTGAACTATTGCACTTGGCTGCCCAGGAATACAAACAGGTCGGTAAACCTGTCGCAGAGAATTTGTTAAAGGAGCTAGTTGTGCCACTAACTTGCTTGATAAATGTTCCCTGTTGTCATGTAGTCACTTTTCCTCAAAATAACTGCTCATCTGAACCAGGACAAAAACCCTCATCTTCTAAATTATTTCCAGATATAGTTAGGAAAAGCAGATGGATATGAGCAGTATGTCATTCATCTAACCCTGCTCACAGCAACATGGCTGTCAGTTAGCCTAGAGACCCCACTGGGATGTGACCACAGAAAAGACATTGGTGGCTTTACCTGAGAAACCCAAGAAATTATACGCTTGCCAGTCTCATGGTTATGAAAACATTTTTTTTCTATCAGAGTGAATTTTATGATGACTTTACCGTTTGCCTGCCGGGCCAGATGGCATGCTCAGAGCTTTCTGGAGGTTAATTTTTCCCACAGGAAGATTCTCAGCACACTGTGACAAACTTATGCTGCGATTTCTAAAGAATTCAAACCCACCAGTAGAACTGGGCTCCTGTATGCAATGGAAATAAAGGTCAGTTTCCTGTATGAAAAGCAAGCATCAACGTTTAATCATATTCAACCATACTTAACCATATATTTTACATATCTCTATCAATCATTATTAAAGTAAATATGGTATCCTGACATCAAGACATGCATCATCACAGTCCCTCAGTCTATCTAGGTCAGGGATGTCAAACTGGTGGCCCTCCAGCTGTTGCAAAACTACAAGTCCCATCATGCCTCTGCCTATGGGAGTCATGCTTATAACTGTCAATCTTGCAATGGCTCATGGGACTTGTAGTTTTGTAACAGATGGAGGGCCGCCAGTTTGACACCTGTGATCTAGGTAATCCATACAGAATATATGGAAAATTCAAAAAACCTTCTATATGTAAATGACTCCATTTTACTTTGTCTTCAGACTATTCCGTACCAATGGTGAAGCTAAAAGTGAAAGGCTTCTACTCAAGTCATATACATTTTGCCTGCCTGTCTAACATACTGGCTTGGCTGTGAATGGAATTTTTACTGACTTATAGACCCATATGCAAACAGAAGTTCTGCAAATATTAATATGGGGGGGATATGTAAACCAACAAAAATGTTCGCTACGGGTCAAAGTACTGACATGAAGATGGGTGGAAGAACCACATGACTTGGGGATCAATTCTTTTTCATAAATTTGGCACAGCAAAATGTGGGAAAGAGAAGTATATACTTTTTTTTCTTTTAAGTTAAAGCTGTTAATTCGGCTTTCAATTTTGTGAGGGTCTTACTGTAAAATTTCATTTGAAAGAGTGCTTTTTTCACACATTTGGAATACACATCCAAAATGCAGGTCAGCAAAATCCTATAAACTTTAAATGCGCAGTAAACACAGTGAAGCAGAGGTTGCGTTTGACCTGCTTTGTGCTGCGCTGCATTTCTTTGGATGCTGCATGTTCTACTGAAGTGAGCTTGAACTGCAGGCAAAGTGGTCAAACACGGCCTTTTGCTGTTAAACAGTGTGGTTGGCATTCAAATGCATACATTTGTTTTGTAATAGCACATGCCACTTTAAAAAGAATGCCCATAGACATGAGTCCTATGAGATAAAGCAGGCCAATACACCTACGGTGCACTGAGTAACACAGCTATAGAATGTCATGCATTACATGCCTCTATGAGGCTTGCCTTATGAAGATTGCTAATAATTACGATTATTCTGACTATGTCTCATAAGAATTCATGCAGAAAAGGTATACAAGTATACATTTACAAATAATTCCCTGAAGATACAGATGTGTAGCATTAAGATAAAGCTACAAAAAGAATACCAACAGTAATAGTAACCTGTGACGTGGGAGTAGCAGGAGGTGTTTCACATTCCCCTGAGCCTATAGCTTTCAGAAACCGGATCATATGCCTACAGAGATCCCACTTCCCTTGCTCCAGCGCAGTGTTGAACAGAAGAGTAGCGTGTTGCCTGCTCACTGCTGCTGCCTCCATATTCTGCAAACAAAACAAACATGTCAGTGAAGATGAGCAACAAAGGAGAGGAACACACTGGCAAATTCAATTACTTCAACCTTGCTAATAAAACTGGTAGCAATAAATCACCTATAGCCAGCGGCGTATTTACCACAAGGCATTTACCTACAGCAGCATTTGTCAGGGGGGCGGCGCTACCCCCAGGCAGAAGTGACACACGTGGCAGCCGGTGACTGAGAATAGGGAGCAGGTGAGGCACAGCCAGTGGTGTACTTAAGTTTTGTGCTGCCCTAGGCAACACAAAATTTGCCCCCCCCCCCGGCCTGATGAAGGGGTCCCACGAGACTCCAAAACATTGCCTTGCTGTAATGTGATCGTTTTGATGTGATTGTTCATTAAAACTTTTGGACCCAAATTGGTGATCCTCGGTGTGCTGGTGACATTCTCCCTTGCGGACTAATTCCAACAAACACCCCTGCCCCACCCACCTAAGAGAGCCTTCCACTACCATCGTCCCCATACACCGGCCACTCCCCTCCCAGTGAGAGAGAGAGAGAGACAGAGAGACACACTCACCTTCACAGCTCTGGACATCCCCAGGAATGAGATTCAAGCAGCCCGCAGCCTCTCTCACATCCCATCTGGTCCCCAAGCCGCATTTGTCCCTTCTTCCATCACTTCTTCCAGGGGGGCCCTGGTTGCCATTGTGCTACATGCTGGGGTCCAGTGCACTCCTTTGCCTTTAAGAGGGGTGGCTCCCTCAGGTCCACCTGCCCTTGATCTATCCATTAAATGCATGTGCCTCTACTATGGGGACTCACAAATTTTAGAGTTAGGACCACAGATGATCAGGGTGCCGTGTCGTGGCTCTGTGGCTTACGTATGTATTTGCAAATGTGTGCTAACTAAACCCCTGTTATAAACGCATACTGTTAGACAGGTTAATTTTGGTTGTTAGCAAGCTGGCTGGCAAGTTGTCCAAGAACATTGTTCTCTCCCCCTTTTTTTCACTATGTGATGCCTGTTTATGTGTCCTTGCTTCATAAGCCAGTTATAGACTTGGGCGGGTGGCCACTTTTATGCATGGCGGGGCGGTGCTGCCCCCTGAAAAATGCTGCCTTAAGCAAATGCCTTGTGGTAAATATGCCCCTGGGCACACCAGTGTGGCTGCGGGCTCTTGAAGGGTGTCCGACTCTCGTTCCCGGATCATAGTTAGAGATCAACGCAGAAGGAAGGCTTCCCTGATCATGGCTCCCAGGGTGGCCAGCGGGTGAGTGCTGGAATCTCCCTCCCCCTGCCAAGAGTGCGATTTTACTCTTGCCTAAGCAGCACACAACCAAATTGCCTATAGCAAGGATACATTGCTACATAAATGGAACAAATCGCTCCCAACAGTGTAAATGACACAAATAACATACAGTGACAAATAAACCTGTGTACAACGAGTTACAAAATTTCACCCATAGAGAGGTTTGAAAGACATACAGGTAAACTCAATGAAATACTAGCAGCAACACTATTCATATGCCCTTTAAAAAGGCCTGTGCCAGATTCATTCATTTAAAGACACATGTGGCAGATTTGGAAGCTCTTATAGTAGAATTATAGACAAAACTTTTTTTTTTAATTTTGGGAGGGTTATAACTTCTGTCCCTTTATTTTTTTACCATCTGTGCAACACTGGGGAGACTCGCCTTCACTTCCTGCCCCATAGCCAAAACAGAAAGCGAAAGGAAATCCCTGTAATTAAAGTAATTCCTTGGAGACCCCCGGGTCACCAACACTAGTATCCCCATTGGAAGATTTCCCCTCTATTACTTTTCTGGGGACAACCCAAAATTTGGGGTTTCTTTCACTTTCAATGATAATGGTAAACAGGACAAATAGAGAGGGTGGATCTCCCTAACAGGGGCACAGACAGCAATAAACAAAAAAACCTGACGGGTGTTTGCCGCTGCTACCCCTTCTTCTTTTTAACTGTAACTGGTTATTAACCACTTGAGCTCTGGAAGGTTTTTCCCCTTTCATGATCAGGCCATTTTTTGCAGTTCAACACTGCGCTATTTTAACTGGCAACTGCACGGTCATGCAATGCTGTATACAAAGGAACTTTATATAATTTTTTTTTTCACACAAAATAGAGCTCTCTTTTGGTGGTATTTGATCACCACTGGGTTTTTCATTTTTTGCAATAAAAAAAAAAAAAAAACAAAATTGTGAAAAAAATATTCTCTAGTTTCTGCTATAAAACATCCAATAACAATTTAAAAAAAATCACATTTCTTCATAAATTTTGGACAAAATGCATTCTGCTACATGTCTTTGGTGAAAAAAAAAAATTCCCATTAAGTATATATTGATTGGTTTGTGTGAAAGTTATAGCGCATACAAACTATGGTATATACACTGGATTTTTTTTTTATCAGTGATCAGTGCTAATAATATACACTGACACTGTACTAATGACAGTGGCTGGGAAGGGGTTAACATCTAGGGGCAATCAAAGGGTGAACTGTGTACCCAACAAGTGTTTACTGTGTGCTGATTTTACTAAGGGATGTGCCAGTTTTAATTCCATACTTTGCAGGGAAACAAAGACGGCACATCGCCGGTGTCAGGATAGAGCTCTGTGTTTACAATCACATAATTCTCTCTGGTCATCCACTCTGCTGATCAGCAGGTCCTGGGCATAAGTCATTGGCAGGTGCCCGCTAATTGCCTTGTTCTGTAACAAACACAGCACAGCTGGGTCAGTGGGCGCACAGGCCCCTTACCTGGAAGAGTCAAATCAAGTATCAGATAAGCGATCCAGAGCAGAGCGGCCACCCTGCAGCAGCATATCTGCGTGGGGTGGTCCACAACTGGTTAAGGACAATGCCGTCAAAGCCAAGAGCCTCCTAGCAACCAGTGATGCTGATAGTGGGTGGAGGCTGATAGGAAAGCTGAGGGACTAGTTCCCCATCAGGTCTGCTTTCTCCTGATCACTTAGCCAACAGCAAGCAGTCTGTTGGTTAAAGACTAGTGTCTCTGAATTTCCATTGGGCACTGCACACCCAGCTACAAAGATCCTCAGCTGCTGCAGTGTCTGTAATAGCAACATAAAAGGAAGCTCAGCTGTGCCAAAGACAGATTGCCTGTGTCTGTATGGACACTGTGGTCTCAGTGTATTTCTGAATGCAGTGGGAGGCACAATGTCAGAAAAATAACTCCTTTTTAAAAACAATCAAAATAAAAACACACAGGTTTTGTTAAAATACATACGGTCTTTGAATGGAAACTTCAAATGCAACAAATAATTAATTGTACAAGTCAATTAAAAAGAATTGAAAATAGCCTAATTGCAACATAAAGTTTCTATGGAATTAGCACCATAAATGGTACCAATATATTTCAAAATTGGCATCATAGACCCCTGAATATACAGTTGTGTTCAAAAGTTTGCATACCCTTGGAGAATTGGCAACATTATGTATCATTTTTAAAGAAAAAACATGAGTGAGCAGGCAAACACATTTCTTTTATTTCTTACGGGATTCATATTCAACTGTAGGTTATAACAAAATGGCACAATCATAAAACAAAACATGGCAATGAGTAAACAAATGAAACGACCCCTGTTCAAAAGTCTGCATACCCTTAGTTCTTGATATTGCGTACTGCCCCCTTTAACATCAATGACAGTATGCAGTCTATTGTAATAGTTTTCTATAAGGCCCCAGATTCTTGAAGGTGGTACAGCTGCCCATTTGTCTTGACAAAATGCCTCCAGGTCACGCAACGTCTTTGGCTGTCTTGCATGAACTGCACGTTTAAGATCTCCTTAGAGTGGCTCGATGATATTAAGGTCAGGAGACTGTGATGGCCATTCCAGAACCTTCACCTTTTTCTGCTGTAACCTTGGAGGGTCAACTTGGCCTTGTGTTTAGGGTCATTGTCTGGCTGGAAAGCCCAAGAGCGTCCCATGCACAGCTTTAGTGCAGATGTACATTTTCTGCCAGTATTTTCTGATAACATGCTGCATTCATATGGCCATCAATTTTCACAAGATTCCCCATGCCTTTTAAGCTCACACCCTCCCAAAATATCAGTGAGCCACCACCATGCTTCACAGAGGGGATGGTATTCATGTCACTGTTGACCCCTCTCCAAACATAGTGCTTATGGTTGTGACAATAGAGATTTTTTCTGGTGCATTTGGCAACTCAACCATACATCTAATTTTTTTTAGTATTGTCATATTGTGCTACTTGAAAAAAAACCACACCGTCTTTTCCAGAGCAGTCTGTATTTCTCCTGAGGTTACCTGTGGGTTTTTCTTTGTATCCCAGACAATTCTTCTGGCAGTTGTGGCTGCAATCTTTCTTGGTCTACCTGACCTTGGCTTGGTATCAAGAGATCCCCTAAACTTCCACTTCTTAATAAGGGATTGAGCAGTACTGACTGGCATATTCAAGGTTTTGGATATCTTTTGATATTCTTTTTTATCTTTATAAAGTTCCATTACCTTGTTCTGCAGGTCTCTTGACAGTTCTTTTCTGCTCCCCATGGCTCAGTATCTTGCCTGCTCAGTGCATCCACGTGAGAGCTAACAAACTCATTGACCATTTATACACAGGCACTAATTGCAATTTAAAAAGCCACAAATGTGGGAAATTAACCTTTAATTGCAATTTTGACCCGTGTGTGTCACCTTGTGAGTCTGTACCAAGGCCAAACATTCCACAGTATGTAAACTTTTGATCAGGGCCATCTGGGTGATTTCTGTTGTCATTATGATTTAATCACTTCCTGGCTGCCCTTTAGCAGTTTTAATACTACAGGGCGGCCTGCTCTACGCAAAATCACGTAGAATATAGCGATGATTTTGCACTTCCAGGTAGAAAGCGCGCTGCCGCCCTGCCCGTGCTGTCATTGGCTCTTGAAAATGTCAATCACCAAGTCCTGGCCAGCAATTCATAGCCAGGACTCAGTGTTTAACAGAGCAGCTGACAGGGGAGAGATCTGTGAGTGTAAATACAGATCTCTCTCCTGTCAGCAGGGATGTGCTTCCTTTTATCTCTTTGCCCTGTAGCAATACATCTGCGAAGGGGCAGTCTTGAAGTGGTAAATAACAAAACGGAAAGTAAATGAACAGAAGAGAAATCCAAATCAAATCAATATTTGGTGTGACCACCCTTTGCCTTCAAAATTCTTCTAGGTACACTTGCACACAGTTTTTGAAGGAACTTGGAAGGTAGGTTGTTCCAAACATCTTGGAGAACTAACGTTCTAATCATCTGTGGATGTAGGCTGCAGCAAATACTTCAGTCTCTTCATGTAATCCCAGAAAGACTCAATGATGTTGAGATCAGTGCTCTGTGAGGGTCAAACCATCACTTCCAGGACTCCTTGTTCTTTACACTGAAAATAGTTCTTAAAGTGGAACTGTACTGCATCTGAGTACCACAAACCAAAAAAGCTATATAATTTATTTTTAATATTCAAAACAAACTCCTCCATCCATGCATGTATCCATGCTTTATCTTGCTGAGAAATCATTTTGAAAAGATTCCTCCTCACATTTCTGGCAGTGGCCATCTTGAGTAAGGGTAGATTATTCATTTAGCAGTTACTTCTTGGAATCCATCTGTACTTATCCCAGGCATTGGCTAAGCTGAGAACCCTCCACTCCTGAAGACTCCTTGGATGTATGACATAATTTTCCTAAGCATGGAAACCAGGATGTAAATGAAGGAATGCAAAAGAAAAGGTTAAATCAAGTAAATATTAAACAGTTCCATACCTATTTACTAATGTTAGCAGCATAAGGATTAGAAATAGCTCATGCAGATTGGGAGAGTGAAGTTCCACTTTAATGACATTGGCTGTATTTTTGGGGTTGTTGTCCTGCTGCAGAATAAATTCGGGGCCAATCGCTGATGGTACCTGATGGTATGGCATGATGGACAAGTATCTGCCTGTATTTCTCAACATTGAGGACACCATTGATCCTGACCATATCTGCAGCTCCATTTTGCAGATATGCAGCCTCAAACTTGCAAGGAACTTCCACCATGCTTCACTGCTGCCTACAGATACTCATTGTATTGCTCTTCAGTCCTTCGGAAAACAAACTGCCTCCTGCTACAGCCATATATTTCAAATTTTGACTCATCAGTCCAGAGCACCTGCTGCCATTTTTCTGCACCCAAGTTTCTATGTTTTTGTGCATAGAAAAATCACTTAGACTTGTTTCCACATAAGAGGTATAGCTGTTTGGCTGCAATTCTTCCATGAAGACCACTACAGGCCAGACTTCTCCAGACAGTAAATAGGTGTACCTTGGTCTCACTGGGTTCCGCCAGTTCTGTGCTGATGGCACTGCTGGACATCTTCCCGTGTCGAAGGGAAGTAAGCATGATGTGTCTTTCATCTGCTGCACTGCTTCCTTGGCCAACCAATGCGTCTACAGTCCTCAGCATTGCCTCTTTCTTTGTGCTTCTTCAAATGAGCTTGAGCAGTGCATCTTGAAACCCTAGTCTGCTTTGAAATCTTTATACAACAATATGCATTGCCTATTAATTTAAAATAACCTCAAATCGATATGTCTACATGAATCATAATTAATATGATAAGGCAAAAGTAGTTATGATTAACAGCGTCCCAGTAAAAATGTATAGATTATTATATAGGACGGTGTCTTCTACAGTCCAGGAAAATGCTTCCACCTTAGTTCACAACACACCACCACTTGTATTCAGTGCTACTGCCACACTCACCAGATAATATGCTGCCTGATTTAAGCAGCAGATAGGGCATCAGTAATAGAGAGCTGCTATGATGTTCCACAGATCTCTGGTGGTACCAATGTCTACTATTAGAGGGTGTCACACTCTGCAGATATAGGCTGTATGGGGACACACTGAAGGGTTTCATATAGTGTAATCATTTATTGAAAGTGTAAAATCCACAAAAAACCACTCCCTGCACACACCTGGGAGTATTTCTGGTATAGGGCGGTCGGGAAGTGGTTAAAATTAATAAGCGCTGCATATTGTTCTACATTTTTCTACTGGGTTTGGTATATAGACCTATTGCTAGCAGCCTTTTCTTGCTTTCAGAGCAGAGCTATTTATTACTATTATTACTGCTTTGAAATGTTTGCCTGAGAGAGACCTTGCTTATGCAGGATAACTTCCTTGTGTCTTGTTGCTGTGCTCAGTCTTGCCAGGGTTTACGACCTGTGACATGAAACAGTCTTCCACAACCTCACTTTAGTAGCAGAGTTTGGATGTTCCTCACCCAGTTTTAAGCCTCCTACACAGCTGTTTCTGTTTCAGTATATGACTGTGTTTCAACCTACATGAAAATTAATGATCACTGGCACCTGATTGGTATAACTGGTTAATCATACACCTGACTCTAATTCTACAAAATCCCTGAATTTGTGCAAGTGTGAGAATCGATGTGGATTTGAAGCTGAAGGGTAGTAATGCCATTAAAATATATACTTTTGAAAGCATTCTTATGTGAAAGCATATGCATGCAAGGACAGACTAGTCAAAATTCAATTAAACCCCCCACAATACTTAAACATGGTCAATGCAGTAAGTTAGCAACCTAGTGCAGCAAGAATACTGATGATACAATATCAAAATACTGTACACTTGTTTAAGGAAAACATTACGTGGTCTCCCAGTTTGTAATGAATCCTAATTCAATTTTTTTTTTATTTGGAACCTTTTCAGGTCTTTGTATTGTCATGTCCATAATAATAATGTGTTTGGATCTCTGTTGGTAGTTTTTCCTTTAACTTACTGTGCCACTAAGGGGAAACAAGGGAAGTCTCCCTAACAAGAACATAGGAAGCAATACAAAACTTGTCAAAGTACCTTCCGGACACCAAACTATTCTCTAAAGTTTAAAAGTATATCTAATTCCAAAACTTATGGGTTTTCAATTTTGAATAAAGTAAAAGCAGGTTAAAACAGCTGTCAGTTTTTTTTTTAACCATCTGTATCTCATCAGGGAGATTTCTATTCACTTCCTGTGGACAAGATGTGAGAGGATATCTGTTCAATCCTCTCTTAAGCCTGGTACACACTATACATTTTTTTCGCTCACACCAGCAGGCTGAATGAAAAAAAAAAAAAAAAAAGAAACTGACAGATCACTGTACTGACACAAAAGGTGTTAGTGCAGAGATCTCCCCCAGCTGTGCCACTTTGTTCTGACAGGGGGACCGCCAGGACGCACTGATCAGCACTGGCAGTCACAGGCTGCCAGCGCTGACTGGATGCTGGTTGGCTTCTGGTTTAAAAGCATCTTAGTTTCACAGAAGCTGGCCGTAAGATCGGCTTCTGTCAGACAAGGAGCTGCACACATGAGCCGAAAGTCGACGGACTTCTACTGTATCTGCTGATTTCGGACGATATTTGGTCTGTGTGTACCCAGCATTAGACAGTTGTTATTGGAATAAGTGTTCCCATTGGAAGATTTGACCTCTATTCTTGTGTGGTGGCAACTCAAAATTTTGGATTTACCCTCACTTTCATTCCCTGTGACATAGAGAGATTCACTCTAACTGTCCTGATGAGTAAATGAGAACAAAGACAAAATTAAAACCTGACAGTGGTTCAACTAATCCTTCTCCACTCTATTCAAAACTATAAAAAAAAGTTTTGCTTTCAGCTATACTTTGAATTTTCTAGGTGCATTTTCTAATAATGTTTGACCTACGTTCTTTAAACAGCAAAATAAAGTAGAGAAATGCATACATAACAATCTTTTTTTTTTTTCTTTAAGGTAATGCCTTTACACCCAAATCATAATTAAAAAAATACACTTATTACTAATTAAATGTGATGAAAATTACATAGAAATTTACCTGGAGGATAATAAGATACGAGGCAGCTGTGTCAAGGTCCTGGGCCATTAGGCACTCCTCAAACAAGTCCTTAGGGTTACCAACAGCAGCAAAAAGATAATTCCAAAGGGCATACTCTGTCTTGCGTGCACAGTGAACAACAGTCTGCAGAAAGAGGGGAAATTCGGTGATGAACTTGGCCACGGTTGGAAGAAGTGGGTCGGGAATAGGCTCCCGTGAGGTAGCTTCTTCTTCCAACACTTCGTGGAGCATGAGTTCTAGCACATGAGGGAAGTAAGGTAAAGAGGCACATGAATGGGCTAGGAGTAAAGCCTGCTCCCCTAAGTTCCTGACTAAGAGCTGTCGTAGGATATGGTGGAGGTAGATTTGAGAGGTCCTCTCTACAATACAATAAGGGAACTGAACCTCCAAATGCTCAGCAGGAGAGCCAAGGTTGTTCAAACAGTCATAAGCAACAGTCTCATTGATGGCCCCAAGTACCAGGGCATCCTCAAACAAAACAGCTAGAGGGTAGATGTTGATGTGGAAAGGCAGCATTATTCGTTTGGACAGGAAGGAATGTGGTTTGCGATTGTCTCTAGGAAACAAAGGAAGCCAAACTTTCATGCCTGAGCCACCACAGCTGAGCCAGAGTGCTTCAAGAAGATGGCGCTTTTGCTTGTTCACTCTACAGGTACTCCATACATTTTCCACAGACTGAGCTAGGACCACCGGAGCACAAAATGGCAGCTGAAAAGAACACACAGGGACAATCAATACATACAATAATCTGATGTAGCTTAAACTTTATTAAGTATTTCATAATCAGACACTTATAGATTGCTTTCCAAATGGGATGTGCATGTTTGCTAAAATACTTATGCTAAATATTTAGACTATGGAAGTAAGCACAAAGTGACCCATTGCTGCAATTTTTACCCTCAAGGGAGTGTAGCGCTTAGGGTCACAACACTGTTATCTTGCTTACACTATCATTTTATTTAGAAAGGGCAAGTCTTCATTAGGTTAAACAGCAGTCTGTGGAAAGCTGCCACACTATTGTTAAAGGCCAAGTTTACATGTTCTACCCCTATTTAGGGTATAACGTAACATCCCCAGCCCCCTCTCCAAGCTTTGTTTCCTTCATTTTCACCTAGTGATTCAGCCAGAAGCACACTTTCTGCCTAGGTTTCTCTGCTCTGGATGAAGGAACAGAGACACCTTTGGACAGCCAAATTGATGATTGATTGATTGATTGATTGATTTGACTATCAAAATAAGAACTCTAGCTCTTTAAGCAGTTATAGAAAAAATATTTTTCCTTCTGGGATAAATGTTTTACAAAAATTTAAAAAAGCTGATCATTTTAAGCATCCCTGTCAATGTTAAAATAGCTTTTCTCAATACTCTAACTGCCAATTTTGCTAAATAGCTGGGTCTCTTACAGGAAGTTGAAAAATAACAGATTTACTGGTCAGGTCACCAGGTAAAGATAAAGGCAAAAGGCCTTAAAAAGAAAAACAAAAGCAATCACCACTTCTAATGACAGCCGTACATCCTTTGGATGCAATCAAACCGAATCGATTAGTCGAGGCCAGAATATTAATCGTTTTGCATCAAAAAGGCCGGTAACAGAAGCGTGGTTGGCCTCCGAAATGCATTCTGCTTGGCTACAGCATCCTGGACATCTGAGAGCTCCTTTAACAGACTGAGTCTCACGTGACATCTCCCCGTGGCTTACCTGGATTCCTGCTTCAGCTTCACAGCACTTTCTCCAGTGGTTCTAATGGGGACTGAACTTTGGACTGGGGGCTCCCCAATGAGCTTCTTCTATGCCTGTCACCAGCAATGACTGTGATTGCAATACTGTCTCATTCTAACCCTTTTATTGAATAAACATTGCTACACTATTGGCAGCTTGGTGCCCCTCTCTCCCCCCTCTTCTGTCTTGCAGTGCAGGAAATTTCATGTGATATAGACAGGAATCGCCCCATATTCCTGTTCAGATCACATGCGATTCTTTGCAGTGCAAATTGTACCACAAAGTATTGGTAATTGGTATTGGCATTGGCGTGTACTTGAGCACAAGTATCAGTACTCGTAAAAAAAAAAAAAAAAAAAAAAGACAGGTAGTGGTGAATCCCTTATACCATAGTTTGTAGATGCTGTAACTTTCACACAAACCAACATACACTTATACATTTTGGCCTAAATGAAGAAATGAGGATTTTTTTTATTGTATATGTTATAACAGAAAGTAGAAAATATTGTGGTTTTTTTTTTTTTTTTTAATTTTCAGCCTCTTTTTACACTGAAAAAAATTAAAAACCCACCAAATGAAAGCTCTATTTGTATGGAAAAAAAAAGGATAAAAACTGCATTTGCATGACTGCACAATTGCCCTTTAAAAGCAGTGCAGTGATAAATAGCAAAAAATGCTCTAGTCACGAAAGGGGTAAAACCTTCCAGAGCTCAAGTGGTCAAAGAAAAGGTTTCTAACAGATATCCATCTGTACTGAGATTGTAAAGAAAAACGACATAAAGTATTTAGGCCATTTTCCAGAGTCAGAGTTGCACCGATTTGAACAGTTCCATTGCCGGCAATGGGGTGCATGCGATTTGGAACAGTCAAATCACATGACAAGTCACACCAGTGTAAACCAGGGCTTAATCAGATTTGTAAAATGACACTATTTTAAATAGAACTGTTCTTTACACCCCCCACATCATTTGCGGTGTTTTGTTGTTTTTCTTCCTTTTTATTTAGTTCCCAGTCCCTTCAATTTCCCTTCCCCTTCTCCCCATCCCACCCTTCCCATGTTTTAGTCATGTTCAGTTATGACCACGTAAAGGCATAATAGGTAATGGACCATGACAAGGTCATGTGAAGAAACTTCCAAAGGAAATACGGAGGTGATGTGATAACCGGGTTTTTTCCATGAAGTTATATAGCATGGATGATAAGAAGTCTGTATTCTTGTAAGTTTATGATTTTGGGTCATATTCAATGATTCTAGACATGTTATGACTATAAAACTGTAAAGATTACATTAAAAAAAAAAAAAAAAACTTTTCTACTGAGCCCGTGGGTTAAGCTAAGCCAGCTGCACAAATATATATGCTGTGAGTTACAAACCTCCTGTAGGGGGTGCTAAATATACATATATTTCATTTTATGTAAGACATGGTACTGCCTTTTACTTACCAGCTTTCTCTGTTGGGATGCAGCATCTTTTTCCCGAATCTGAGGACCTGAGCGATCTCTTTGCAACATTATTAGCTGACCAGCTAGGTTCAGCATTATGCTTTCTGCGTCACAAGCCTAAGATAAAATAAAACAAGATCATTTTATACCTAGCTTTAATGATACAAAAGTAAACAAAACAGTGACAAATAAAAGTATTCATCGCAGTAAACAAAAAAACAACAACCCCCTCACCCAACATACTGCAAGGGTTGAATGCTTGATAAATCATTATGTAGCAACTTATATTTATTGCCTTAATGGTCAGTAGATTTTTAGGTTTGTGTTATGGCTCTGTGACTGAGGTCTTAATGACAGGAGGGGTTAGGTCTGCTTTAAGATAAAGCATTACATATATAGCAGGATTTTTGCACTTGCTAAAATCTGTTTCTTGGAGTTCATTAACCTCCCTAGTGGTATGATTATGTCAATATTTCTGTGCTCAAAGTGGTATTTTTTTTTGCATGGAAATATGTATTTTTTTTATTGTAGGCCTGTAATTTTTAGGAATAACTCACTGAAATCTGTCCGAACAATAGTCTAGTAAACATCCCGGGTGTGATAAAATTTGAAACACCAAATCATAAATTATAATATAATAAATAATCATAAAAAATATAATAATTATACATTTAATTCAATAATATAATCAAACCAAAAACACTGACATTTGAAATATAGCGCCAAGTTCGCACATCACTGAGCAAAGTCGCAAAATCCTTTTCAGTGTCTGATGACGAATTTCTCCACGAATCATCACTCAATTCTGCAAGTGGTTCTAATTTACTATCGCTGTTCTCTAGCCGGTCTAAAACCGCTTTTAATCTAAAGGGACGTTTTTTGGACAACATGGACTTTTCTCAGTATCCAGGCAGAAAGAACAGTAAAAATGCAGGCAGAGCACAGGACAAAGCACTAGGGACAAAATGTATGTGAAATGCTTTGAAACAGTAATGTTTTACTATGTGATTTTAGAGTATTTGGTGAATAGCACTTTTAAAATTTTTTAATTTCCCGCCGGTTTCGTCCCCCGTACGTCCCGACGCTCGCAGGGACCGAAACACGGAGGACAAATGCCGGCATCGGCAGGAGGACATGGCCAGAGACACTGCAGGTGGGACATTGCGGGAGCGCAGGACAAGGTAAGTGAAACAGGGATCCCAGAGCAGCGCTGCAGGGTAATCCCGAGTGTAGCTCGGGGTTACCGCTTCTGGTACTGAAACTTTACCCCGAACTACACTCAGGAATACCTCCAAGGAGGTTAAGGAACACAGGATGAGAAATAATTCAGTGAATTGGGTTATGCTGCCGCCTATAGGTGGAAATTGCCAAACAAAAATGTCATTAGCCAGTCAGGTATAATTTTTTCTCCTCCCATCATGCTTCAGTATTTTTAAAAATAATTATTAGATTAGATCCCAAACACCGAGGGGCTGGATCTATGTCTGTTAACGAACTCCAAGAAAAAGATTTTACAGTAAGTACAAAAATCCTGTTTTCTTTAGCATTCATTAAGGAACACAGAATCAGAAGTAATTTAGAGACAATTGGGACATCTGAAAGCAGTCCAACTTGGCAGAGGGCAATAGCAAAAAGACACTAACATGCCCATAAAAACAGCAGTGTAAAAAAAGAGAGTCAGCCTGCAGCTCACAGAGCTGCCTAGGTACCCGGTCATACTGGTGTGATTTCAGGTGCGATCTGGAAATCATTGAAATCGCACCTGAAATCGTATCTAATGAATGTGAATGTCAGTGTCTTAACATTTGCGATTTGCTGTAGCGCAATTCTGAAGTAGTTCTTGCATTACTTTTCCTGCAGTTTTGTTGTGATTTCACACACAGAATATAATGGAAATCGCACTGCAAATTGCAAGAAATCATTGAAAATCTTCACAAGTAGCAATGAATTCTTCAGAAATCGCGCTGAAATTGCACACAAATCACACGATTTTAAATTGCAGCGGTGTGACCGGTGACTAAAGGTTCTTATGCCCAAAGCTGGCATCAGCTGGGGCCTGAACATACACTTGGTAAAACTTGAAAAAAATATGAACAGAAGACCAGGTAGCAGCTTTTGCACATCGGAGATGTAAATCAAATGCCTGCTGCTGAGAGGCCCAAGAGCACTTACAGACCTAGAAGAGTGCGCAGGAAAAGGTGGTCTTTAAATTTGAATGAGAAGGGTGGGTTCCTGAGCCACCAGACAAGATGGCATGGCGTTTCATTCCTGGAGCATCGGCTAGGCCAAAGGTTACCTCTTATTCCACTCAACTTTTGCAACTCTCATGCAAAAGTGGAGAGAATTGCACTGGTCCTGGACTGTATTAGTATACAGTATCAGAGAGCCTGGATTTTGTCTTGTAAAATAACTAAGAAATACTAGAATGAGATCCAGAAATTCCAAGTGATTAGTTGGTTCCAGTGCAGATTTCTGTAGGTTCAGGATTCAACCAAAACTATGTAGGGTCTATAAAATCTTTATCACATTGTTGGACAGAGTCTGTGCTGACTGTTCCTGGAACAGTCTTTCGTCCAGGTATCCTACAACAGGAATGCTCTGGGGGCATCGTAAAGCTAGTACTAGAAACAGTACCTTGGTGAACACTCAGGTGTGGAAGCCAGACCAAATGAAGAGATACAAACTGGTACTGTTGTGCGCACACAGCATTGGTGAACTGGCCATTGGGGAAATGCAAGTAGGTACCCTTCATGTTCATAAAGATTAAAAAGTCTCTCCGGTGGGAGGAAACAATGAAATACTTGGTGGATTCCATGAAAAATATATGGAAGCAAATGAGGATATTTAAGGCTGTATTTGATTCACTATGTGGAGATTGCCCCCTTTTGGTTTGGGAACTGTGAACAGGTTTGAGTAAAAGTCTTAACTTTTTCGCCACTGAAACAATGAACATGGTTCCTGACTCAAGAGATCTTGAAGAGCAGCATTAAGGTCTAGAGCATGCAGACATAGGCAGAATGGACAACATGAAGCAGGGTAGAGGCAGAGAGTGAAGAAAGTAGGCTAACCGGGTGCCTGCAAAGGCTAATAGATGTCCCCCCACCGTGAAAAGTTTATGCTGAAGAGAATATGTCCACATGTTTGCAGTTGAACTGGGATTGAGACTTTCCAGCTTCAGGCCTACGCTTTTTCTTCTGGGGTAGATAACTACACGTACTGTACCTGCAAGTGAAATCTTTGATGAGGGTGTCCAAGGCAGCCCTGAAGAGATGTTTAAAATTGAAAGATAATGCACTGCTAATGCTTTTTACATGCCTCTTCCACAGAATAACAGTTCAACCCCAGAGTTCACCACATATAGTGTAGGGCTGCCAGCATGAGCTCTAAGTACTCTACAAACAGGGAATCCGTTAGAATGGAAGATGGATCCCTTTTAATGCAATTAGTGTATTCCCCTAATGTTTGACAAATTAGCTTCACAGCCAAGGTAGACTGCAATAAGGGCCTGACAGAGAAAACAAGTCTTCGAAAGAATCTTCTAATGTTTATCTATATGATCCTTAAACACTGGCACATCCTCTACAGTAATAGTCAATGCTTTAGTAGAATGGGACACTGCCGATCTATGGTGGAAATGGGCCACTTCCTAACACAGTACTCCTCAAATGGATACTGGGCTGCAAGTCTTAAGGCCTCTAAGAAATCCCAGTCAGGCCACAGCACTAGTAGAAGCTGTTTTTGCAAAGTGTGTTTTTGAGCACTTTGCCAGCATTTTGTCATGCAACAAAATGCTCATTTCTTTTGTGCGTTTGGGGTGCCATTAATAATAAGGACACCCAAAAGTGCGTTGTGTTTTGTTGTGATATTATCATGCTCCAGAATCATGGGATTCTGCATCCAAACCTTCCTATAGGCAGCAATATAACCCACATCTCTAAATTTTGTGTCCCTCATTGAATGGGAAAGAAATAAAAGTTACATAGGATGAATGAATTGATTTAGTATTTGTAAAAGTTCTCCTGAATCTGGGAACATCAGTGATTAAAAAAAGATGTACTAAATGACAGACAAAACACAGTTCAACTAATATAAATAAGCTATTGCACAAACTATTATGATCAACAACAACTTATAGGGAAAATGGATAAATTATAAAAAGACACAACCCAATATCTTACTTATGGCACCATACCTGTTGAGGCATTTTTAATGAAATACCAGTTTCTGTCCTCACCGAAGTTAAGGTAACTGACACTACAAGAGACGGGTGAGGTATGTACCGAGACATGGACACCTCCTGCAAGACTTGTAAACACACTGAAGGATTTGGCCTGAAGAAGATTAGATGAACAAATATGTAATATGTATGAGGGCATCACATATAAATAGTCACAGGAAAGCCAAACTGTTTCATAAAATGTATTCACAGGAAATTACAAGTAAAGTAAATAATATAGACATTACTATTATTAAACTTGATATGTACTGTATTAGAAATGTGTACCAAGCACCCTGTACATGCATGACATATACCATACAACAGCACTCTGTAATGAACACTGACTCGTGATAACCCTTTACCAGGCTGAGAACAATGGTCTTCTCTCATATTATGAACAAGAGCAACAACTCCAATGGGAGCAACAAAGATCATACAATTCTTCAGAAATATTTTAATGAATATCATGTCTTACTATAAAAATCCCATTTACTAACAAGATGCCACCAGGCAAAGAAGGGGATGAAGAAAAAGCTGGATCAATAGAATGGTTTCTAGAAAGCAAAACATTTGCTTGACATGTAAAAAGTAATTTGCTCTGAAAGTAATGTCTAAAAGAATGTCTAAAAACAGCAGATGCCGTTCCTTTAACAAAAATAAATAACACAAACTATTTTATAGCTTCACAATGAAAAGGGTTAGCCCGCCAAAAAACTGGTATGCCTGATTTTAGTAAATACTGTATGTGGAAAAGGTTTGTATTGTATGTCACTCTAACAGAAAATGATGGGAAATGCAAAATATCACAGCTGTCACCAAAACATAAATAGAGGTGAAATCTTTCATTATTTTGGTGACAAATGTCTAAGCTAGGATTTCCCCTTTTTGGGAGATTTTCTTTCACTTCTTGTTGTACCTACAGACAGAAAGTGAAGGGTAATTTCTTTACTGGGAAACACACACACACAAAAAAAAAAAACCTGACCGGCATGTTAAACATTCACTACATTATTCACAACTTTAGCTAAACTTTTAACCAGTTTATTGTATCTATCAGGTACTCTGAGATTTCTCTGCTTGAGTTCCTCTGTCTGTACACCTGCTGAGGCCTCTATAAATGGGGACTATACTATAAATGGTGGAGACAAGCAGAGCTGGGAACTAGGGCAAAGAGATACTGCAGATTCTGGGGCATCTAAGACCTTTTATGTCTGTGTATGCTGTTGTAGGCCACAAGTTCACACCTATTGAAATAACTTTTAGGATGACAAATGTCCAACAGTAACCACCTTTGTCAGGTTACAGCTAACCACAGATACCATTACTAAATCACGAAAAAAAGGACTTCAGTTCAAAGGGCATTTCTTGTCACAGAACATGAATATGGGTTCTCATGACAGTTCATTGATGCTACTGCTGGAATCTACAGATTGCTACTCTTATGTGGTACATAATGGCCATCACAGATGAGTAATAATCCTTGCAAAAATGTTGCTGAACAAGGAGGTATGCCAAATAGAAACTGGAGAACAAGGAACATGTAAGACCCCTCTGTTTAGTATCAACAAGCTGTAGAAGGCACAGAGGACAATCTTGCAACTGATGAAAAGAAGCTGGAACACGCAAACCAGCGTGGAATCCAGATCCAAACATGTATTTGTTATAGTTACTGATAAGTTAAAGGCTAAGTTCACCTTTTTTTCCCTAAAATCCAGCTCCACTATGTACCAATATTCCATTAATGTGCCACGGTTGCATAAAAAAAAATAAAAGCTTTCTTTGATTTTGAGAACAAGGCCTTACCTTAGCACCTGGCTGCATTTCTTAGAAAGCTTCCTCACTTGTGGGTATGTAGGTTTAGGACAGAGAAGCCAGTAAGAAACAGGATGGAATTTACCAGCTGATCTCACATCACACACATCCTGCACTGACCCATACCCTTTACCCATCAACTATTTTTGCACAGCACCCCAGGCATCTCTCCACACGTGAATTTGCCTGGCTTCCCCAGTGTCCTTACGGATCAACTCAAGCCACACGCTAAACCTCCTGGGGCCGCATGCAGCCCACGGGACAAGTAAATAGGATGCCCTATACGTGATGAGTGAAAACGCTCCAAAACACCCAAAACAAACGCAAGTGAGAATGTGAGTTTTTGCTACATGGAGATGTGAACGAGGCCTCACAACTAAGTGTCTCCGTCCACTCCCTCCTATGTACTTGTATAAAGATGGCCATATACTATGCAATCTGCTTACACAATCTCTGTACAAATTCCTTTAGATTTACCAAAACTATGAGATAGGAGGACAGACCTGAACAATCTATTCAAGTTGTATCAAATCAGACAGGCCCTTGTACTACATAGCTGATGGGAAGGAGATTGTATAGAAAGTGGGTGGAAGGTAGTATTGTAATGAGGGAGATGTGGTTCAGAGAGCATCACCCTCTTCTGTGATGCAACAAGGAAGTCAAGGCTTCTGGGAGATGGCCTACAGAAAGTGAATGCTGAGAGAAAATCTACAGGAAGTGATGGAATCTGAAAATCATATAAAAAATTCAAACAAACTGACAAGATTTTAAACCTCCTGTGGATAAGGTAAGTGAAAGAAAAGCACACTGGGATGACCAGGCCAGAAATGGCACTGGAAAATGCTTATATTTATTATGAAAAGTGAAATTCTGCCCAAAAAAGGTGAACTTATCCTTTAAGCACAACATAAATTAAAACATTAAACACATCATTCACTGGAAAAGAGACACTTCAGTTACAGTGCTTGAAATGTATTTCTATTAAAATCTTGAGCCTAATGATATAACCTCGTTTCCTGGCATTTTTTTTTTATTTTGCAATGTAATAATAATCCCATATTAGTCAAGTATGAATTTTTGGGTGCATTTTGCATTTCAAATTTGTGCAAGAGTAACTATTAAAATTATTAAAAAAAACATTTTTTAGTAAATAATGAAATAAAAGGTTTGAAAAACAAATTGTAATTGGATTTCTTTGTAAATATTTATAAATATTTGGGTATTATGCTTTACTATTATGATTAGATCATCAAAAGAGAGAGGTGAGAATTAAAGACTTTCTTAAGATTCTCAATGTTTACATATAGGAGTTCTAAAATGCCCAGGTAATAATTCTGATGAGCAAATATACCGTAACTGCTTTTGCTTTGAGCTCTGTTTTAAGTCTTCGTTCACATTTAGCTTATGCAAATACAGAAGCCACCAGGAAAGTATAAACAAGATTTATGCCCCCCCAGATCACTTTTTTCTTTCATTTGGATTTTCCTACTTTAAACCTTTCGCTGCCAGGCACTGTGCCCCACATTTAAACCCCGGTGGCCAGGCCATTTTTGCAATTTTTCCTTTGCTTTTTTATTTTTCCGTTACAGCTTTCAGAGTCTGTAAAAGACCCCCCAAACCATACATTTTCTGAAAGCATAGGACCAGTAGTATAAAAGAAAGGTGCTACTGATTTTTTTAGGCCCTGTGATATTTGTGCAAATGTTCTTTGTTAAAAATACACTAAAATTAATATTAGTGGATACATACATGCCAACAATTTAAAAAATCCTGCTAAATTCCTACTAAATATAAAAGTTAAAACTGTATTGAGTTAATACATATTTGTACATTATAACTTGCACCTTTTTGTGAAAAGGTGAAAACTGAAGTTGTGCAAAACAGTAAATAAAATCAATTTACAAAAAAAAAAAATCTGAGGTTATTATTTTTCCACTTAGAGCTTTCAGAATTTGTAAAGGCCAACCATATATTTTATGAAAGCACATGATCTACAGAACAGAATAAATGTGCTTCTGATTTTTAAGGCACCAAGATATTTGTGCAAATGTTTATCACATCGTCATTTTCACTAAAAAATACACTAAAATCATTACTACTTGATACATACAAGGCAAAATTTACGCAATTCCTGCTATATTCCTACTAAATATAAAAGCTAAAAATTTAATTTAACCTGGAGGTCCCCATTTTTCACAGCTTTGAGAATTTGTAAAAGACCCCCCCCCCGACCCATATATTTTCTGAAAGCACATGACCTGTAAATATCTGAAGGTTATTTTTCACTTACAGCTTTCAGTGCCCTCTGAAAGCATAGGACCAGTAAAATTAAAAACAAAATGGTGCTACTGATTAGTTGTGCAAATGTTTATCAATACCAGTACTTTAAAAAAAAAAAAAAGTATACTAAATTTCTTTCAAGGGCTAAAGCTAAAACTGTATTTAGTAAAAAAAAATAAAAATTATTTGTAAATTTTAAGTTGTAATTTTTGCAAAGAGAAAAAAATGCAAATCTGTAAATAAGCAAATGCCCAATCGCAGTGCCATGTGTGTACTGCATTGCTATGTGTTGTGATAAAATGATGCAGGCATGCTTTTATTGCAACGTAGTGCAATACAATGTGCAGCAATACAATGCAACACAACAGCAGTGTACCAACACACGTAAAGTGTATTACTGCTATGTTTTTAGTGCACATTTGTATGTGTGTAATATGTTTAAAAGTCGCTATGGCTGAAAACATAAAACCACACATCTGAGCAGTTACATGCAGATAGGGATAGATGTGTATATGTATATGTGTGCAGGGATGTATGAGTAGATGTATATTTGTGTTCAGATTGTGTGGTTACATGCGTACAGCTGCAGTATCTGTCAGCCTGTCAATGATTTGTACAGGCTGCTGCTCTTTGCAAACACCTTTGACTCCCGGCACAGAAATACACAGGGTGAATGAGGTCCTGGGGCTCATTCACATGGATGCTGTGGCCCATACAGTGTGAATTAGTGGTTTGCTCATGCAGCTGAAACTGTCTGGAGTATGCGTGCAGCCTATGCGACTTCATGGGGATGTAGCAGTCCTAATTTGACAGGCGTGTGGGAGCATGTCCATGGACGCAGACAATGTACATTTGGGGCCACCCACCAGCACATGCACACCTGTCAAATTAGGGCCTGCAGCTGTGTCTATGTATCTGCTTTGTCTCCAAAGAGTAACATAGGCTGCCTGCATGCAGCTCCAGCCACATAAAAAAAACACTCTTTCATAAAGCCACAGCACCCGTGTGAATAAGCCCTTAATTTTTTTTTCCATTAAACATTTTTTTACAGTTTATTCATTCTTCATTTGGGAAAGGAATATTTAACTGAAGTGACCATGAGCCTATAGCAGAAGTGGGAATGCAGCTGATGTAAGGCATACTGACCAGACCAGCTGTAAGCAGTTCTGGGCTGTCATATGCCTTATGTCGAAAGGGTAAAATAAATTGTTCCCAGAGAACTACTTACCAATTCCTTGAACCATCTATCCTAATTCATATTTCATTATCCATGCTGACCATATTGAGTAAAAAACCATTAAGCCTGGTTAGTAAAATACTGTATATTATATAAGCCTTCATATATCCAATGAATTTAGTTAAGAAGTTGCTCATCATATATTACATAAGTTTGCTGGTTGGCTTATGCAGGCTTAGGACTTCTTTAGTAAGAGCCACTAATGGATTGAGATGAAGTCATATTTATACACAAGGATATACAGTAAGCTGCAGGAGTTAAAAGTCTACAAACATTTACAAAAAGTTAACCAAAGTCTATGGCTAGGTTTGGAATGTGTGGCTGTACAGATTTGTTTTGTGGTTTATTTTAAAAAGCTTGTAGTGCAGATTGGATTTTACATAGTATGATAAAGCATGTCTGGATGGAAATTTCCACTAAGCCAAGTGTAAGAGAAAACTGATGCCAATCAACACTCACCCATCAGATCTTCTTTCAATACTGTAGAGGCAGATAGAGCAGTCTGCTCGAAACAGGATCATCATATCTCTGAACACACTGAGGAGAAGAGTCTCCAGCTGCACCTTAGTCACGTGTGCAAAAGCATTGTCCAAGTTAGATGTGCGAAGGTAAGCCCGGAGCTTAAAAAATAAGTCCAAAATGGACAAGTGTCAAAATAGAACTTAAAATATTCTATAGCACAATAAAACTGCACAGACTTACAATATCAGGACCCTCATTTACTGTGAAAAGCGGTATGCTGCCAAATACATTTCATAAACTCAAGCCATATATAAGAAATGTAAACAAAATGTATTGTTTTGTAACAACATCTCACCTCTTCTTGATGATCATTTATATTGTAACATGCTAGAACTATGAAATCATTCCACCAAGCCAGACCTCCTGTCACTGTCATGTTCTGTTCCTAAAAAAGAATACATAAAATAAGAGACAAATAGTTTTAAAGTATAACTAAAGGCAAATCTTTTTTTTTTTTTTTTTGCTAGAGTGATGAGGGATTAGAACCCCTGTCATGGGAGAGGGAGAGTAAGAAAGGGAGAATGAGAAAGGGAGAATGAGAAAGGGAGGAAAGGATAAAGGAAGAATGTGGGGGTAAGAAAGGGAGGACGGGATGGAAGGTAGGAAGGGAAGCGAAAGGGAGGACGGGATGGAAGGTAGGAAGGGAAGCGAAAGGGAGGATGGGATGGAAGGTAGGAAGGGAAGCGAAAGGGAAGATGGGATGCATGATGGATGGAAGAAAGGAAGAGACTTGCCTGTGTAATATTGCCGAACAGCTTCCATTTTTTGGTGACCAATGAATAATGTGCAAATCCAAATTTTCCAACAACAGCAACATTTTGCCCATTCTTGTCTATGGCAGAATACTGTAAAAAAAAAAAAAATGGAAGCTTACTTAGATGTGAACTCCAGACTCAGAGAAAACGGATAGCTTGTTAGCATACATGGAATGGATCATTTTATTTGCTTAATGTGGACCTGAACTTAGAAAGTGAAGATTTGATATCTTCTAAGGGATGTGATATTTGAAGTAGGATATACTGATATAACATGAAGCTTCATGTTTTTGTTGGAAAAGAAGCTGTACCCGAGGCCATGAAGTGCATGCATCTCCCTGCTTCTGCTTTATTCGTTCTGTGGATTTGTGCTTTCTGAACGTTTTCTGCTGCCGCTTGATTATTCCTCCATCAGATCCTTAATCACCAGCGACACAGGGAAGCAAAGCCCTGCCTCTATGAAGACAACAGTTTCCGCAGGGAGACATGGTGCAGAACGAGATATAGTAGGGAAAAAAAAAAAATCAACTGCAAGGGGACCACAGGTTATACTGGTCCTTTGCCTAACTTGCCATCAATTACAAAAAAAAAAAAAAAAACACGTCAAGGTCAATCACCACCTATATAAAACACCCTGTTTAACAACCCCTACATCTACTTACACATGGCATTGGCAAAACACGAGTTAGGAGTTGAAATTTGTAAACAGCTATCTAGTCAACAAGTGGTAAGAGGCTACAGTATGTACACTTCTCCATTCCTGTAACACATAGTCTGTACTGATACCACTTTTCTTTCCTGTTTCTTCTATTTGGTACCCTTGTGTTCTACTTTTAAACTGCATTTTAATAAACTGTTAAAAAAAAATTTCATTTCCGAATACCATTTTGTAATCAATGCCTTCAATTCTTAAGATTTCTCCAAAAAGGAATACATTTTTTAAACCAAACAAAAAAAAAAACCAAACAACACAGATTTGAGCTGCAAATCACAGTCATTACGCCTGCATCCGGATTAATTTGTGCATGCTTTCCTGTAACTAAATATTTGTGTGTGCATTTTCTATGACTTACCCATATCATTGAAATAAAATTTTAATTTGCTGTAGACCTATATGAGCTCCCCTATTATTCCACCTTCCTACATGATCATACTGGCTCAGCAGATTTAAATAAATTGAACTACAGTAGTAAGGCCACTACATAGAAGGAAAATTAACTGACCAAGGAACAAAATCAGCAATAGAAACTTCTGGGTTTGCTTTGCAAATGTAATGTGTGTTAAAATGAAGGTGCACTTTATTGGTTAATCTTTTATAAATAAAATGTACATAGCACTTCAATACTTCCACTGGAATGATGCTGTGGCAAAGGGTTTCATAAAAATTTAAACAGAACTGTCTGTTTTGCCTTTGGCAAACAAAGCCTTGTTTCATGCCCTATAAACAAAGATATGGATGTGACTGGTAGTTAGAAGTATCAGAATGTTTATTCTTCATAACAGTTTCAAACATAAAACGAAAAGAGTCGGTTCACACTAAGAATTGCGATTCACATGCAGTTCTGTGCAGTGCAATTTCAGCCCATTCATTGAGCTTAAATCGCACTGCAAAGCGCCAAAAGTATTGTATGCACTACTTTTGGAAATGCACTGCAACCAGATAGCATGTTCATTTTGCCACCTGTGATTGGGGTGTCATTAACATTGCACTGAAACCCACTGCAGATCGCAAGGGCAGTGCGCTTTGAATGCGGTGTGGGAAATGCGTACAGACCTCGGGTCTCCCGCATCTCGTTCTAGTGTGAAAAGGCCCTTAAGCTGCTTATAAAATAGTTTACTCACCCTGATTGGCCAGTTACTTTCAAGGTAAGTGCTATGTACCTAAAGAGAAAAACAAAGTAAATATTAAAAAAAAAAAAAGATCATGTAGATTTTCTTACTATTAAATGTAAAAATCAATTTATCAAGATTAAAAGAATAATTGGGCATACTTGAACTTGATAAAAAGAAATCAAAGGATGTATGGCGGTACTTCCAGTACATTTTTTCTGTAAGCAATAAAACTTTTACTGCACAATACCCCGCATGTACTGCATCTGTCAGCCAAACTGGAAGCCAGCAAAATGCAAGATTGATACCTCGCCAATGGCAGTGTGATATTTTCCTCTCTGCTTTCACCTTCAGATATTTCTACGCTTCCCCTCAGTTTTGCCCACTTCTATTGTTAGCCGTTTTCTTCTAGCATTTTATTAGCCCTCTCATCTCCCAATAAGAGTATAACAGTTAACAAATCTAAACCTTTACCCCTTGCCATTTATGACAACTGGACTTATTAGTACTGTAGTACTATATACGCTAGATCAAGGAAAAAAGTAAAGAAGGTTAAGGGGCAATCTATAGCCAATATACACTCTACAAAAAAAACAACTGTAGGATAAAATAAAAAAAAAAGATATTATACTTTCCTTTTTCTGGCTTCCATGGTTCAGGGAGTCAGGTAAGTCTGTTATCCAGCTCCCTCCCCCCTACAGTTTTTTTTATGTTTCTTCTGCATTTCAGAAAAGGGCACAGCATTTTAGATCAGCATATCTTGGCACATGTCAGCATGTCACAAATCTATTTTGTGTTTTTTAAAAATATCTTTACTGAATAACAAACTGCCAATCTTGAGCTATCTTAAACTTACCCCGTCAGAACTGAAAGAATTACCTGTAAAAAAGAAGCTTTATGCCTACCTTTTGAAGCAATGTTGCAATGAGATGCTGCTCCTTGCCCCGCTGCAACTATTTGACAATTAGGGTGGGCTGAATACCTACAATACCCCACGGCACAATGAAGTTCCTCAGGAACAAATGCATGTGATGGTGAACAGGTATTTACACACGTGAAGAGAGCCTTTTTTTCTACAGGTACAGGTCACTTTAACATCACATACGAGAGTTCAGGATAGGCAGGATTTTTTTTTAACCACTAGCCTACAGGGCACTTATACCCCTTTCCTGCCCAGGCCAATTTCCAGCTTTCAGCGCTGTTGCACTTTGAATGATAATTGCGCGGTCATGCAACACTGTACCCATATGAAATTTTTATCATTTTTTTGTGACAGATAGAGCTTTATTTTGGGTTTTTTATTTTTTCTTAAACAAACCAAAAACCACTGTAAATTGTGAAAAAAAAAAAGTTTTTTCTTACTTTTGTTATAAAATTTTGTAAATAAGTGATTTTTCTCCTTCACTGATGTGCGCTAATGAGGCTGCAGTGATGGGCACTGATAGGCTGCACTGATGGACACTGATGAGGAAGCACTGGTAGGTGGCACTGATGGGCATTGACAGGCATCACTGATAGGTGGCACTGATAGGTGGCACTGAGTAGCACTGATAGGCAGCACTGATGCACACGGATAGGCGGCACTGACTGGTAGCACTGACTGCCACTGATGGGTGACATTGAAAGGCAGTTCAGATGGGCACTGATATGTGGCACTGATATGTGGCACTGATGGACACTGACAGGTGGCGCTGCTGGGGCTACATTTCCCTGTTTACATGTGATCAGCTGTGATTGGACACAGCTGATCACATGACCAAGCTGACATGTTCAGCTCTTTCCGTGGATCGGTGATCCAACATGCTCCAGGAGCCACGCATGCGCAGTTAGAATGGGAAGACATCATATGACGTCCTCCCAGAATGAGAGAACCACCTTGTGTCCGTCATATTACTATATACTATATATTGATACCTCACCATATGGCGGGTGGGAGGCAGTTAAAGATGCTGGTAAAAATTATTTAGGAGGGGCAGACACAATTCACTGGAATCATAGCAGGCACGATTGTCTGCTTAGTAATGCAGCACTGTTTTTGCCTTATCAGCTTGAAAACACCAGGCTTGCTGTCACCTATTAAGGAGGTTGTATGCATGTATGTATGTATGTGTTTGTATAAACAATATAATATATATATACACACACACACACACACACACACACAAATGTGCATGAGGGCTTAGGCTGTATAATTAATGGAGCTAAACTTTTGCTTCAAAAATCATGTTTAATTCTTATTATTTTATTTTCCATTGCAATGTTTTACAAAAACATCTGGTAATTACAAAGTATCACCCTGACTTTAATAGTCTCACATTTGTTTACTTATTCATAGTGGAAAGGTTTCCCTGCAGACTGTGACCAGAGAAAAGCCTGGGACCATTTATAATTTATTTCATGCTGCAGTCATTTGAGACTTAAGGCTGATATTTACAGTGCATCCAGAAAGTATTCACAGCGCTTAACTTTTGCCACATTTTGTTATGTTACAGCCTTATTCCAAAATGGATTATATTCATTTTTTTCCTCAACATTCTACAAACAATACCCCATAATGACAATGTGAAAGAAGTTTGTTTTGAAATCTTTGCAATTTATTCAAAATAAAAACAAAAAAAACAAAAAACACATGTACATAAATATTCACAGCCTTTGCCATGACAGTCAAAATTAAGCTCTGGTGCATCCTGTTCCCATTGATCATCCTTGAGATGTTTCCGCAACTTGATTGGAGTCCACCTGTGGGAAATTCAGTTGATTGGACATGATTAGGAAAGGCATAAACCTGTCTATATAAGGTCCCACAGTTAACAGTGCATATCAGAGCACAAACCAAGCCATGGAATTGTCCGCAGACCTCCGAGACAGGATTGTATCAAGACACAAAACTAGGGAAGGGTACAGAAAAATTTCTGCAGCATTGAAGGTCCCAATGAACACAGTGGCTTCCATCATCCATAAATGGATGAAGTTTGTAACCACCAGGAATCTTCCTAGAGCGGGTCGCCCAGCCAAAATGAGCGATCGAGGGAGAAGGTCCTCAGTCAGGGGGTACCCGATGGTCACTCTGAAAGAGCTTCAGCGTTTCTCTGTGGAGAGAGGAGAACCTTCCAGAAGAACAACCATCTCTGCAGCACTCCACGAATCAGGCCTGTATGGTAGAGTGGCCAGACGGAAGCCCTTCCTCAGTAAAAGGAAAATGGCAGCCTGGAGTTTTCGAAAAGACACCTCAGGGACTCTCAGACCATGAGAAACAAAACTCTGTGGTCTGATGAAACAAAGATTGAACTCTTTGGCCTGAATGCCAAGCGTCAGGTCTGGAGGAAACCAGGCACCTCTCGCCACCTGGCCAATACCATCCCTACAGTGAAGCATGATGGTGGCAGCATCATGCTGTGGGGATGTTTTTCAGCAGCAGGAACTGGGAGACTAGTCAGGATCGAAGGAAAGATGAATGCAATGATGTACAGAGACATCCTTGATGAAAACCTGTTCCAGAGCGCTCTGGACCCAAGACTGGAGCGACGGTTCATCTTTCAACAGGACAACGACCCTAAACACACAGCCCAAATAACAAAGGAGTGGCTACGGGTGAATGTCCTGGAGTGGCCAGAGCCCAGACTTGAACCCGATTGAACATCTCTGGATAGATCTGAAAATGTCTGTGCACCAACGCTCCCCATCCAACCTGATGGAGCTTGAGAGGTACTGCAAAGAAGAATGGGAAAAACTGCCCAAAAATAGGTGTGCCAAGCTTGTAGCATTATACTCAAAACGACCCGAGGCTGTAATTGGTGCTAAAGGTGCTTCAACAAAGTATTGAGCAAAGGATGTGAATACTTATGTGCATGTTTTTTTTTTTTTTTTTTTTTTTTTTTTTAATAAATTGCAAAGATTTCAAAACGAAACTTCTTTCACATTGTCATTATGGGGTATTGTTTGTAGAATGTTGAGAAAAAAATGTATTTAATCTATTTTAGAATAAGGCTATAACATAACAAAATGTGGCAAAAGTTAAGCGCTGTGAATACTTTCTAGATGCACTGTATATAACATGTTAGGCTATGAAGAACCACGTTTTATACTGGTAAGGCAGTACATTGTCAAATACTGTTAATTTTCCATATCCAAAGTAACTTACCAACAGCTTCCATATTTAGGCATCTTGTAATATAAAAATCAAATCCGGCACATTTAATGTTTACTAGTACAAATATGGTCTAAAGTCACAATGTACCATTTGTCTTAGATAATCCCTATACTATGCAATGAAAAAAATGAAGGCCAGAAGAGCCCGGGCCTCAGTCTAACATATTCCTGGCATACAGCTCTGGTACAGATGACATCATTGACTGCAATTATATATCAGACTTTTCACTAGCATTTACCATTTTAATGTATATGTTAGTCTTTCTGTGCGTAAGGCGGCTAGTAGTATGCTGTGTTTAACAATGGGATCTAAGGCAAACCATTGCACATTCCTTTGACATAAAGAAATCCAAGACAAGCTACAGCATGCAATCATTTGGGCTCTAAAATATGAAATAGCACGCAATGTAGATAATCTTACAAATCATTTTGTTAAAGGTAATCGGTTTGTATGAAGGTAAAATTGTTTTCCTAGCTTTAGAATGTAAAAGATCATCAGATACTCTTCTATGATGACACACACACGATATAAAAAAAAAAGTCTACACACCGCTGTTAAAATGTCAGACAAAGATAAATCAATTCAGAACTATTGTCTGCAGAGTCCATAATCATTTGGCCTTCAGATTAGCACAACAACAGTGCGTAGAGAGCTTCATGGAATGGGTATCCATGGCCAGGCAGCTGCATCGAAGCCTTACATCACCAAGTCCAATGCAAAGTTTTGGATGTAGTGGTGTAAAGCACGCTGCCACTGGACTCTAGAGAAGTGGCAGCAGCTCTGGCAATCCGATGGATGTTTCTGGGTTTGGTGGTTGCCAACAGAATGGTACTTGTCTGACTGCATTGTGCCAAGCCTAAAGTTTGGTAGAGTAGGGATTATGGAGTGGCCTTGCTTTTCCTGGGTTGGGCTTGACCCCTTGGTTCCAGTGAAGGTGTCAGCATACCAAGACATTTTGGACAATTTCATGTTCCCAACTTTGTGAGAACAATTTCAGGATGGCCTGCACACCAGTGCACAAAGCAAGGTCTATAAAGACATGAATAAGCGAGTTTGGGGTGGATTAAACTTGACTGGCCTTCACAGAGTCCTGTCCTCAACCCAATAGAACACCCTTGGGATGAATTAGAGCGGAGACTGTGAGACAGGCTTTTTCGTCTGACATCAGTGCCTGACCTCACAAATGCGCTTCTGGAAGAATGGTCAAACATTCCCATAGACACACTCCTAAACCTTGTGAATAACCTTCCCAGAACAGCTGAAGCTGTTACAGCTGCAAAGGGTTACAATATTGAATTCTGCAGACTAAGACTGGGATGCCATTACAGTTCAGAGTATAGCATCAAATCAATTAAACTCCTGGGATATTGATCTGGTCAGTTAAGTAGCAGAGGGGTTTGTTAATCAGTTTCAGCTGCTTTGGTGTTATTGAAATTAACAACAGGTGCACTAGATGGGCAACAATGAGATATACCTCAAAACAGGAATGGTTTTACAAGTGGAGGCCACTGACATTTTTTTCCCTACTCATCTAATCTGACTGTTTTTCACTAGTTTTGCATTTGGCATTTGCCATTGAGCACTACAACTGGTAGGTCCGCCACTGGTGCTCTGTGCTTTTTACAGATGAGTAGGTTCATCCTGAGCACATGTGAGAGACATAAAAGGGTCTGGAGAAGACGTGGAGAAATGTTATGCTGCCTGTAACATCGTTCAGCATGACCATTTTGGTGGTGGGTCAGTGATGGTCTGGGGAGTCATATCCATGGGAGGAATGCACAGACCACTACAGGTTAGACAATGGCACACTGACTGCCATTAGGTATCGGGATGAAATCCTTGGATCCACTGTCAGATCCTACACGCTAGCGCAGTGGTTCCTGGGTTCCTCCTGGCATTCACGACAATGCCCAGCCTCATGTGGTGAGAGTACGCAGGCAGTTCCTGGAGGGTAAAGGAATTCATACCATTGAATGGCCCCCATGCTCGCCTGACTAAATCCAATAGAACACCTCTGGGATATCATGTTTCGGTCCATCCAACGCCTCCAGGTTGCACCTCAGACTGTCCAGGAGCTCAGTGATGCCCTGCTCCAGATCTGGGAGGAAATACCCCAGGACACCCTCTGTTGTCTCATTAGGAGCATGCCCTGACATTGCCAGGCATGCATACAAGCATGTGGGGGCCATATAAACTACTGAGTACGATTTTGAGTTGCTGCAATGAAATTTCAGCAAAATGGACTAGCCTGCTGCATCATTTTATCACTTTGATTTTTGGGGCGTCTTTGAATTCAGTCCTCTGTTGGTTGATAATTTTCATTTCCAGCAAACAATTGGGCACCCTTACATTCCTAACACATTACCCAGTCCATATCAGTATAGATATCCAGCATGATATATTTCCCCATTGAGATATGATGTGTTTTCAAAGTGTTCCTTTAATTTTTTTTGGAGCAGTGTATATTTAAGAGTCTGTTTATATACAGAATATTTAAATGCCAAGATATTACCTTTGTCACTAATACAGCTCTAGAGCTTGGGACAAGTTGTAACCGATTAATGCTTATAGAGAATTTAGGAATATTATAAAGAAGCACACCTATGAAGGCAACAGGCAACTTAAAACGACGGTTACTTGAACCTTGAAACCACAAAGCCAAACCAATTTTCAGGATGTCCTGTACCATGTACCCTTTAATTTTAATGGGTAATCATGAAAAATAGATGCATCTTTACCTTTGGACATGCCAACTGTTTCTTTTGTGAATACTGAATTGTGCAAGACAATTAGGGGTTTATTTACTAAAGCTGGAAAGTGCAAAATCAGGCTCACTTCTGCATAGAAACCAATCAGCTTTCAGGTTTTATTTCCAAAGCTTAACTGAACAAGCTGCAGTTAGAAGTTGATTGATTTCAATGCAGAACCTTACAGCATTTAACCTGGCAAAACAATTAGATTCCTTCTGGTAGTAAGTAAATCCCCTAAACAAAAAATATCCAAACTGTGACCTAATTCTGTAAACAAAAGGATGGTGTTACACTTTCTTCCCCTGAGAACAAGAACACGATTTCTGTATCCAGTTTTTCACATTCTAAAAACAAAATTATGTAAAAATTTGAAGAACATGAAAAACAGCCATGCCGATTATCATAATACAGGTTCTGGGCAGAACATTCTAAGCAAAGATATAAATCCTTTGCTTGGAGTACATCACATTACACAGAACATCTTTATATCCATCACAAAAGAGGTTATGCTGCCACCTTCAGGTGACTGGACACTGGCAAAAAAAAAAAAAAAAAAAAAAAGGCAATCCCCTCACAGCCATAATCCCTAGCTTCAGTTTTCCTGAAAGCCATGACCAAAAAAGGAAGAGGGATGGGATCCTTGTGTTCTGTGGTGTACTACAAGAAAAGTATTTTACAGGTAAACCAGAAAAACAGGATTTTGTACTTACCTGTAAAATCTGTTTCTTGGAGCACATCATGGGACACAGAGCCACCATATTGTTCCTTACTCATAGGGTTCTACACCACCTACAGGTGATTGGACACTGACAAAAATAAGAGACAGGAAGTCCTCCCCTATATAACTCCTCCCATACAGGAAGTATCTCAGCAAGTAATGAACCACCACACAGAGGGAATGTACTCCAAGAAACAGATTTTTATAAATGAAGTACAAATATCGAGTTTTCTTTATCGTACATTGCGGGACACAAAGCCAGCATATTATTCCTTACTCAAATCAATACTCATCATGAGTGGAAGAACACAGCCACCACTGACAGATCCAAAAGAATCTATAAAGTAGCCTTTAGGCCATTGACCGAGGTAGTCTGCTTACCAATGACCCATTCCTGGAATATGAAATATGGATAAAACGGGAAAATGGAGCTCTGCTCAGGACAGGATGACAGTCACTTCTTCCTGTATTGCACAACTCCTGATACTCACTCCCCCCCCCCCCCCCCCCCCACCTATCTGACTGGACCCGTACCGGTACTCCGCCCAGCTGATCTGACCAGCGCAGGAGAGCCATGCAGATTAACCAAAATTCCAGAGTAATGGTTCCCTGTACCGATAAGTGACCCAGGACTCCTCCCGCTCCCAATCGGATAGAGATCATCATCAGTACCTATCAGGAGGGAGAAAAAGTTCCTTGACTCCAAATTTGTTGGAATCATCCACCACTCTAGAATCGTAGAGACATCAGAGAATCCAGGAACTAGGGCCTTCTGTCCCTTGCTGACAGGACATTTAACAAGAGAGGCCCAGAATGGAATTGGCAAAAGCAAGAAACAGCCAATTCTGAAACTCTATGAGCCAAAGTAATGGCAACCAAAAAATATATTTCTTAGGGGTGCATTCACACATGCGAATGCACCCGCTCATGCAGCAATCATCCCTAGAAGCAGACTGCCTACATTCAGTGGCAATCACTCGAACGTGATCGCTGCATGAGCATTTACATGGGGGTGGTCGTGATGAACTGTGGAAGCCGGCAGCTTCCCATTGCTTTTAATAGGACTGCCTCTCGCAATTAATAATGGGAACCCCCACTGGGTTTCTTGCATCTAGAGAGTAGGTGAATGCACAGGTAAGACTGCACTCTAATACACTAGCAAAAAACTGAAGCCATGCCTGGCTGTTAAAAGTTATACCTGTTAGGGGATTTCCTGTCTCTTTATCCCAGTGTCCAATCATGTGAAAGCATAATCTCTATCATAACAGATATGAAGATGCCCAGTTTCCTGGGATGTATGATAAAGAAATTACAGAATATGCTTTAATTTTTACTAAAGGAAAATGCCTACCTGCACAACGTGCCAGTGTCTATGTCCCAGTAAAGTGCTTAAGCCCTGAGAATCCATATTCCCAATAGAATAAGGAGGCCTTTCACGCATGGACTTGTGTTCTGTATGTGAGGATGGACTTCTTACATGCTGAGTCTGAGTTGCATCCCCACAGTTCAAGTACAAACGGTCTTCTCCTTGAAGTAATACTTGTTCCTGGTTGCTCTGCAAGACAAATCAGCTTTTACAAACAACCCTGTGCACTGTTATTTCTTATATTTTTATAACATATAAGAGATGAATGTCCACATAATCAGAATATTTCAGCAACAACCACAGTCTTCTAGAATATATGTTGTAAGATACACAGAAGTATGAATAGTTGAATATATAATAAGTGCACATACGTCCATGTGATGAAGGAATACAATATGCACTGGTGCTTAAAGACTAGGCTGACACTGAAAAGGGCTTAAAAAAAAAAGGCAGCACAGCCCACTTTGATCAGACTACAGTACTTAGAAATTTCCCAAAGTCACCAATCAAACCCAAGGCTGCCAGAGGGAAGTCAAAATGTGATGGAAGATACAGCAAGTAGAGAAAGGATGGTTTATACAGAAAAGGGATTCAAGAGGTACACCTTGGTTAAGGAGAAGATGGTGTGTTGCCACTACAATGGAATACGCAAAGTTCAGATAAAGACAAATTTCCTAGACAACTTTAGTAAAACCAATTTGTTTCATTTTCTTTTGAAAACCACAGGATTCTACATTCTAGTATTATCAAAGTTAAATGGCATCACTGGTATAAACAAAAAGATTTCAGAGCTCTGAAACCCCTAAGATTGATTGAAAACACTGAGCAATTTGTTCTATTTCTGGAATCAATGTGCAACGAGCGTGCAACCACTACTGGCACTCGTGTGAGGCAAAGAACACACATCTGTTTCTTAAACTAAAGAGTCGCCCATAGCTCAAAGCAGCAGAATCCCTGAAAAGAGTAGGGAAAACAATGCAAGCCTGTTTCAGCACTCACACTTTCACGATATAAAGGCCATCAGTAGCCCATATATGATTTACAAAATTTTCATGCATGTTTGATGATATAGAAAGAATAATGACTAAACGGAACAGGCTCAGTTGCCTTTTGAAACCTTCAGTGGGGTTTTGTAAATATACAATGCAGAAGTGAGAATTTGCCAAATGTGTCACAAATAAGTACTCTCTGCATCTGAGATTTCCTCATTTTAATAATGAGAGAAAACCATACAGTGCAATCTGCATGAAGGCAGCTGCTGTAGTATATAAAGGATTTATCCAGGTTTATTTAAGAGAACTGAGCAGAATCAATAGGTCCAGTCCCTCATGCACGCCACTTGCCTAGGCGAAAGACATGCACTATGCTTGCTGTACCTCCTGAGATATGCACGTCACATTCCAGGAGGCATAGTCCATCATTCACAAAGAAGGAGGGGGTCAGGACTAGTGGTGCGTCATTGGGAAGCTCACCGACTGAACCCAGGAGTGCTGGCAGTCTACCGAGATATCAACAAGAACATAGCAGTGCAGGACCAATCGGTCACAGAAGACAAGAGGATCTCAGCAGGACAATGCTGGATTCGCTGGGAGGGTGAGTATCTGAACTTTAAAGAACACATCACCTGGTAAGCAGGGGTTTAAAAATAAATAAATAAATAAAATAGGGAGGGAAGCTGAAGATCCTCTTTAAGACACAGATGGGAGTTTTCCTACCAAGGAAGCAACATGATGAGAGATGGAGATGCCCTTTCTGTGAAATGCAAAGTCTATTAGTAGATGCACTTACCATACAGGGGTTCACAGTAAGGGCACTCTTAATAAACTGGAACTGGAGTATTCCTGACTGTTTTGGTACAGCTTTGTCATTTGTCCCATGTCCTGAAGAGTTTGCAGCAATGGCCCACAAATGATAGCCTTCAGGTCCCCAGCTCTGCAGCAGACAAAATCAACATAGAAGAAAGTAAACTTTAATCTGCTCAAAAATAGTCACAGGCAGTGATAAAACCACAACAGAGATTCTAATCCATGACCATTCTAGCAAAATGAAAAATCATGTAATGTGTTTGGCTTATAGTATGTTGCAGGCTAAAGAAAACCATATGCATGGCTGTTAACAGTGGCAATTTCCCACCTACACTTGCCGACTTCGGAGTATGAGAAAGAATGCCATTTGCATGACTTTCATATCATAACCCTACTATGCAGCAGTAACAAAATAAAATAGATGCTACTTCTGATGACTCTTTAAGCTCAATACCCATCTTAAGAAGTTTTGATGGAAGCAGCAAACTAGTTCTAGGGTAGTCACTTGCTTAAAGTGTCAATAAACCCACATCGTTAAAAATGGTCAGTAGATCCTGTATTACATGCTGTTCTTACTCACTCAGTCATTAAGGGATTTGTTTTCTGCATTCTGCAAAAAACCTGGTCAATCCTTATGTTCACTGTCCCCCATTCCTGCCTGTGTCCCCTCTGAAACCTGAGATTGTGTAGACCAGCAGTTGCCACATTTACAAAGCATGTTCCAGTTCCAGTTCCCATCTAAGCTGTTCATTTCCTTCTTTTTCTTATCTGTGTAACCCACACTACTATAGAGTCACACATGTGGGCATATACAGTATATTGCGGATAAATGACAGCCCACTCCCTCCCATTCTACTCTATGTCCACTAAACAGCTAAACAAAATGGGGGCAGGATATGTTGTTCGATGGAGGCGCCACCTCCTTGTAGTTTTAACCACATACAAACAGACGCAGGCTGGAGGGGCATATTTGTATGAATCTTCATTGGCATACTGTATATAAATATGAAGATTTAAAACATTTATTTTTGTTTTGCATTTTGATTTTTTTTTTTTTTTATGTGACCAGCAGCAGAGGACTAGAAGCTCCTCCCACAAATATTTCCCTGTAAATGGGCTGGGAAAGAGTTGGGTCACATGACAGCTGTATATTGATTATGAAAAAGATACTTAGAGGTTTTATTTTTATTAAAAATACAGTACCATCATTCATATACATTGTCAGTTAAAGTAACGGAGCACCATATCGCAATTTTCTTTATCATATATCACAGGACACAGAGCAGGCTATTCATGACTATGTGGGATGTTGCAACGCAATAAGAAATTTTTAGGGGAGGGTGACACCATGATAGCCACCGCCAATAATCAGTCAAGACCTACTCAGCCGTTCATAAGACACTGCGGCTCTGACATCCACCTGGTAAAACCTTGTGAATGTGTGAACCGAAGCCCATGTAACTGCCTTGCAAATCTGACCAACTGACCCCTGATGGAAGATCGCCCAAGATGTCTCATACTCCTTGTAGTGTGTGCTTTCAACCGAAAGGGTGGGATCTCACCCTTCAAACCATAGGCTTGAATGATCAACTGGCGGATCCATTGTGAAATAGTTGCCATGGATGCCGCCTACTCCTTCCTGGGCCCGTCAGGTAGCACAAAAAGCCTCCGACTTCCTGATATCTGCCAACAATTTCAGGAAGACCCTTATAGCGCTTACCACATACCACATCCAGAGTATGCAAAGATCTCTCTCTTGCTGACTGAGGTCTAGGAAAGAAGGTTAAGGTCACAACACCACCTTATCCTGATGCAAAACCAGAAAAGATGCCTTACAAGAAAGAGCTGCCAGCTCTGACACCCTTCTTGCCAAAGTTATTACCCCTAGAAACAAAACCTTCTGTGTCAACAAGACTAGTGGAACCTCCCTGAGAGGTTCAAGCAGTGGTTTCTACAAAACCTCCAAGACCAAGTTCATATCTCACGGACATAAAAAGTAGCCTGACAGGCAGAGCTATATGCATTACTCCTTGCAAAAACCTACAAACTAGAGAGTGAGACGCAATGGGCCTTTGGAAAAAATAGCCAATGTTAAAGCCTGGCCCTTAATAGTACCAACAGCCAACTTCTTTTCCAGACCCAACTGAAAAAATGACAGGATCCTACACCAATCACATTTTTCCATGGATGCCATCTCCGGACCTCACACCAGAAAATGTAAGCCTTCCAAGTTCTGTAATAAATGTTAATAGAAATTACCTTTCTAGCGCTCAACATAACGGGGATGACAGAATCCGATACTCTCCTATCTTTCAGGATCTAGGTCTCAATAGCCATGACGTCAAACTTAGTGACCATAAAGCTGGGTGCAATATAGGTCCTTGCAATAGCAGGTCTGGCCGATACGGAAGGGACCACGGCCTTTCTACTGCCAGTTTCACTATGTCCACGTACCAGGCCCTCCTGAGCCAGGCCGGGGCAATCGGTATCACCAGAAAAGACTCCTCCCAAACCCTGCATAAGAGATGTGACAGCAGCTGAGTTGGAGGAAAAGCATAAATTAGGGAAAACTGTCGTACGAGGGTCCCTTACCCTGGACACAAAAAAGGCTGACCTTGTTGAACCTGGATGCCAATAGATTTACATCCCGGCAACTCTATCGTTGGCAGGCTGCCATGAAAACCTAGGGATGCAAAGCCCAGTCCCCCCGGATTCAACTGTTGGGAACTGAGATAATCCACCTGCCAATTCTCTACCCCCCCGAATGAACACCACTGACAGACTTGGAACATATCTCTCTGCCCAGGTCAGAATGTAATTCACACCTCCTCCTGAGCAGCTCAGCACCCTGGTGGTTGATGTATGCCACTGCTGTGGCATTGTGGGACTGAATCCTGCTTCTCTTCAGGCTGTGACTCTTCAGATAGAGACTCCCCTGCCTGACATTCTTCCAGCTCCTCCTCATCCTCATTCTTGCTCCAGGATTGGTGGTTCTAGTGACTGGGATCTCTTCTGATTCTTAGTTGCCTGAGAAACATACGCAATCATCCCTGCGATCTTATCCTCTAAACCTGCTATGGCTGAAGCAAAATCATCCTTGGTTACATATGCCGAGGCAGATGCCCCAGTAGTAGCCCTAATGCCAGATAAACGCAGTGGCTCAGATTGTCCAGTCGCTTCTGGCCTCTAAAGAGAGGACACTACAGTGGACATCCGGCTAGGTTCCTCAGGACCAGCAGCGGTACATTAGTGCCCCTACCTGCTGTGCCTCACCCACTCTGCTTTCTGGAAGACATTACTTCACTTAGCTTTAAAACTTGTGCAGCTTCCAATAGTAAACACAAAAAACAAGATAGTGTGCTAACAAAACACTCAATGCAATCTGCTGACCTCATGAGTCACCAGAGGCTGCCTCCTGACTAACAGCTCTGTGTCCCAGCCACAGGAATCCACCAGCAGCAGCAACCCACATGTGCTCACGCCCCCTGGTCAATAAACATGGTCGACTTCCTTTTCTGGCAGCATGCAATCCTCATGCACACACCACTGAATGCGCGTGCACGCCCACCCACAGGCGCATTCTTTTAAATAAAAAAATGCTCCCTTTAGTGGGTCAACCAGAAACAATAAGCAGGCACAGATTTTTCCTGTGCTGAATGCTGTGAGCACTGCCCTGGTAGTAAATTGGCCAAGAACCTCTCCTTTTTCCCCTTCCAAAACCTGTGTCTTTGTTTTCCCCTTCTGAGAGAAAAAAAAAAAGAAAAAAAAAAAAAGAAAAACGAGGTAGCTTATCAGTCCCGCCGCTAATCCCCTGACTTCCGCCAGGCACCAACCTTCACCAATCATGGCAGGAGTTGTCATACAGACCTTCAAGGACTCAGTCCCCATAATGTGGGGCCACTGCCTTGGACCTGTGTAGCACCCCCCCGCTGGAAAGTGCCTTTGTCAGATGTAAACTGCACAGGATTCCATCCACGCGGGGTCCAGCGACATCAGGCTGCGTGTTGGCTGTTGCCTGTTAAAACCCAAGGATTCTTCTCCTTATCCAGCGAGGCTTGGGTACCATCCATTTTGGCTCACAGCTTTCTGAATGGATCCAATAAAAGTTCATGATTCTCCAAGGAACTGTACTAGACTTTAGGTATGCTCCAGGAGCACAAGCAACACTTTCAGTGACCATCCACCTTACAGACAATGGCGAAAAATAACTGAAGTTTTTCCTGTGTAGGAGGGGCTACATAGGGGAGAACTTCCTCTCTGATTGGTCGGCCAGTATTCATTTACCTATAGGTGGCATATAACCCACATAGTCATGAATAGCCTGATCTGTGTCCCGTGATGTACGATAAAGAACGTGATAACTAAGTGGCTTGGGGAACAAAATCATCGAAATTTTGGGTCCATGGCCAGGAAACTCCCCAGACCTTAATCCCATTGAGAACTTGTGGTCAATCCTCAAAAGGTGGGTGAACAAAATAAAACCCCACAAATTCTGGCAAACTCCAAGTATTGATTAAAAATGGGCTGCCATCAGTCAGGACGTGGCCCAGAAGTTGATTGACAGCATGCCAGGACAGATTGCAGAGGTCTTGTAAAAGAAGGGTCAACACTGCAAATATTGACTCTTTGCATAAACTTAATGTAATTGTCAATAAAAGCCTATGACACTTATGAAATGCTTGTAATTATACTTCAGTATACCATAGTAACTTCTGACAAAAAAAATCTAAAAACACTGCAGCAGACTTTGTGAAAATTAATATTTGTTTCATTCCCAAATCTTTTGGCCAGGGCTGTAGTATCTATATATCCATTTTTCCAGTCAATCTTTATATGTGAATTATAGTGAAATAAAAGAAACAGGAAACACCACAAACAATGGACTTTTTTCTGCTATATACTCACCATAGAGCTAATTTTTAAAGTTTCTTTCTTGGTACCATCGGCTCTGTAACTGCAAGGAAAAAACAGGCAAGGTAAGACATACTCAGGCAAGGTAAGACATACTCAGAGTACAACTATTTGAGATAGTTTTATTCAAATTAGTTCAGTGCTTTAACTGCTGATGTTTTACTAGTATAGTCTATTTCTTGGAGTACAGTATAGCACACGTCATGTTTAGTATATAACCATGGGTTACATCAGGGCTTAAAATTTCGAGTCTAGACCTACTAGCCAGGCACAAACCTTACTCTCTACCAATTGCCCCACCCAACCTTGCCCAGGTCTGCCTCCAAACCCAACCCCTGCCCCGGACCATGCCCCCTTAAAGCTTATGAAATTACATTTTTCTTTAGAATAAAGAGTCCAAAATATAAAACTGTATACAGTAATGTATATCCCAGTTCCCCTGTACTCCATTATAGTGATATGACATGTATACAGTATTTACTCCTTGAGTCCCCCGCGGCGGTGGAGATGGTGTCTCCTCTCAGCGGAGGAGAGCGGACCTCCCCTGCACCTGTCAGCGGTGGTGCCGAAGAAGCCGGAACTCAGCTTCACAATGAGACTTGGAGCGCAGCCGCTCCATCATCTGTGCTCGCCGCTAGAGAATGTCTCCTCGCATTTGGCTAGCAGCTTTTTCAAGCCCTGGGTTACATGAAGCTTCTTTAAAGTGACTGGACACTGGGATAAAAAGAAAGCTACGGGGACATGCTCCAATAATAACCCTAACAACTTCCTGCTAGCCATTTTGAAGAAAGCAGTAGAGAGATCATAAGTACAGAGGGGAGTTAGTTGTATTCCAAGAAAAGAAGTTTACTTATTAGTTTAAAATCCTATTTTCTCATTCAGTACAAAACACAGGATCTTTAGTCTTTAACCACAGGACAGCCAGTGCTAAAAACCCTCATTACCAAAAGGGTCAAGAAAGGCTTTACAATAGGTGTCTAGGATTGCTGGGCAGTGTGGAGCAAGCCCTGCACTTCCGCTACCAGCCAGGAAAAAAACATACACATTGCCTGAGAAGCTGCTCAAATCAAGGATGCGCAGTAGCGCCAGAGGCAACAGATTCATTATAGACGAAAGAAAGCACAACAATTTTGACAGCCAGAAGCCCACGCTTCTAGGTGAAGGAGGCATCGGTGTGCCAGCATCCCAGAGCACATTTAACCTTTTCACTGCCAGAGCAGTTTTTGCATTTCTTTTGCACACATTGAAAAAATCATTTTAGGCCTGAAGATTACACAAAACCCCCCCAAAACATTATATATTTTCTTAAAGAAGACACCCTAGAGAATAAAATAGTGGTAGTTCCAATTTTTTATGTCACATAATAGTATTGCAAAGGTCTAAGAAATGCTAAATTTCAGTAAAAATCACACTAAAGTGAATTTTAGGGCAAAACACGCATAATACATTAACCACATTTTTGATAAAATATAAAATGATGAGGTTGTGTCGAGTAAATAGATACCCAACATGCCAAACCTTAAATTTGTGTACACCTATGAAATTGCGTCAACCTTCAGTACCATATATTTTCTATAGACGACGCTTCAAAAGCCATAGTTTAGCATTACCGAGGAGGTCTGGTGCTAGAATTATTGCTCTCACTCCGGCGTGCGCAGTGATATGGAATGTGTATCGCAATCGACATTTCCACGTGTAGGTGCCCCGAAGTGTGTGTTTACGTTCGTAAGTGCGTATATGTAGGGGTCTCAATTTTTTTTTTTGGGGGGGGGGGAATGTTATGTGCATGGGTGTAACTTTTTTTTTTCTTTAAACAAAAACATTTTTTTTACTTAACTTTTTTTTTCATCACATAGGGGGGACAGTGTCCCCTATGTGATTATCTTTTGGTGACAGGTTCTCTTTGTTGAGACATGCAGGGTCTAACCTGGATGTGTTACATATGGCAAATACTGTCCCAAACTTATGACCAGGACTGTTTTGTGCCAACGATAAAGCATAGTGGCGAGGCAATCATGGTTTGAGCAGCCATATCTTAACTTATTCCAGGCCCCATCACCTTGAAAGAGAGTCACTGCAAGTGACTATGTAAACATTTTGGCCGAGCAGGTGCATCGCATGGTGCAGACATTGTTTCCCAAAGAGAGTGCCATTTACCAAGACCATAATGCTCTGATTCACACAGTTGATGCTGTCAAATCATGGTTTGACAAGCATGCAGATGAGGTCTTGCACCTTCCCTGGACGACACAGTTGCCAGACCTAAATATCATAGAGGCACTATGGTCAACTTTGGAGAAAAAGGTTCGGGCTCATTTTCTGCCTCCAGCATCTCTAAGAACTGGAACGATTGTTGCATGAAGGAGTGATATTAGATTAGGTAATGGTCTTGCTCTATTACCTTGTGTTGCCTAATTTTGTCCAGCCCCTGTGTATATGTAGATATATATTGCCAAAAGTATTAAGACAACCCTCCAAATCATTGGATTTAGGTGTTCCAATCACCTCCATGGCCACAGATGTATAAAATAAACCACTCAGGCATGCAGACTGCTTCTACAAACATTTGTGAAAGAATGGGTCACTCTCAGGAGCTCAGTGAATTCAAGCATGCTATCGTGATAAGTGACAGATGCAATAAGTCAATCCGTGAAATTTCCTTGCTACTAAATATTCCACAGTCAACTGTTAGTGGTATTATAAGAAAATGGAAGCATCTGGGAACAGCAGAAACTCAGCCATGAAGTGAAAGGTCATGTAAAAATGACAGAAAGGTGTCAGCGCATGCTAAAGTGCACAGAAGTCACCAAATGTCTGCAGAGTCAATAGCTAAAGACCTCAAAACTCAAACTGTGTGGCCTTCAGATTAGCACAACAATGCATAGAGAGCTTCATGGGATGGGTTTCCATGGCCGAGCAGCTGCATCCAAGCCTTACATCACCAAATGCAATGCAAACCGTCGGATGCAGTGGTGTAAAGCATGCCACCACTGGACTCTAGAGCAGTAGAGACGTGTTCTCTGGAGTAACGCTTCTTCTGTCTGGCAAACCGATAGACGTGTCTGGGTTTGATGGTTGCCTGACTGCATTGTGCCAAGTGTAAAGTTTGGTGGAGGGGTGATTATGGTGTGGGGTTGCTTTTCAGGGGTTTGGGCTTAGCCCCTTAGTTCCAGTGAAGGTAACTGTTAAGGCATCAGCATACCAAGACATTTTGGACAATTACTGCTCCCAACTTTGTGGGAACAGTTTGGGGATGGCCCCTTTCTGTTCCAACATGACTGTGCACCAGTGCACAAAGCAAGGTCCATAAAGAGATGAATGAGAGAGTTTGGGGTGGAGAAACTTGACTGGCCTGAATTACAGTGGAGACTGCAAGCCAGACCTTCTCTTCTGACATCAGTGCCTGACCTCACAAATGCGCTTCTGTAAGAACGCTCAACTTTTCCCATAGACACACTTCTAAACCTTGTGGACAGCCTTTGCAGAAGAGTTGAAGCTGTTATAGCTGCACGAACCCTAGACTGGACCAAGACTGGGAAGCCATTAAAGTTCTTGTGCGTGTAAAGGCAGGTGTCCCAATACATTTGACAATATAGTGTGTATTAAAAAAATCTCTGTTTTCCCAGTTTTAATTTTCCATTTTTTTTTTGTTGTTGTTGCTGAAAGAACAGAGAAAGGTGACAAAAAACGGATCTTGACGGTAACAAAAGACATGTTTCATATAGCAGATTGTTTCAGCTTTTAAATGACCTAAATCACAAGCATTTTTCTTTTCTGCATGACTAAATGATTATTTGAGAGGATATAATTATCGGTAGAAACACAGGTATGGCAATGTAATGTAGACATGAGCAGAATGCAATTACTTACGCAAAGTCTCCTCCAAGAGTACAAATCAGATGTGCCCCAAATACACTCCACAGAGAAAGGCCTCCACATTCCCAGGTTACCATGACAACACTGTAATCAGGTGACCATCGTATTAACTTGACAGATCCAGTCTTGTTCCAGATATCTAATGACACCAAAATAAATAAACACTGGCAGTTTGCATGACAGAGACTTAAACACAATACATATTTATCTAATTTACAAACTATACATTTTTTTTTTATATTTTAATCTGAACTCCAGATATATATTGCTCAGCATAAATAAGTACACCCCTTTTGAAAAGTAAGTTTTTTTAATCAATATCTCAATGAACACAAGAACAATTTCCAAAATTTTAACAAAAATTTGTTTTATAGAACATTTGTTTAGCTCAGTACATGAAAGTAAGGTTAATAATATAACAGATTACAAAATCTTCAGTTTTACTAAAATTAGTTGATGCAAAAATGAATACACCCCACAACAAAACTACTCCATCTAGTATTTTGTATGAACTCCATGATTTGTGAGGACAGCGCCAAGTCTTCTAGGCATAGAATGAACAAGTTGGCGACATATTGCAACATCTATCTTTTTCCATTCTTCAAGAACAACCTCTTTTATAGCCTGGATACTGGATAGAGAGTGATGCTCAACCTGTCTCTTCAGAATTCCCCATAGATGTTCGATTGGGTTCAGATCAGGAGACATACTTGGCCATTGAATCAGTTTCCCCCTGTTCTTCTTCAGAAATGCAATAGTAGCTTTAGATGTGTGTTTTGGATATTGTCGTGTTGGAAAACTGCACGACGACCAAGGGCAAGCAGTGATGGTAGCATCTTCTCTTCTCTTCATCTTCTCTTTCAATATAGAGTAATACATCTGTGGATTCATGATACCATCAATGAAATGCAACTCCCTGACACCAGCAGCACTCATGCAGTCCCACAGAAGGACACTGTCCACCACCATGTTTCACTGCAGGCATCATGCAATTTTCTTTGTACTCCTCACCTTTGCAGCGCCATACAAATTTGAAGCCATCAGTTCCAAAAACATTTATCTTGGTCTCATCACTCCAGAGTACAGAGTTACAGTAGTCTTCTTTTTAGCATGGGCCCTGGTAAATTCTAGGCGGGCTTTTTTGTTCATGGGCTTTAGGAGAGGCTTCCTTCGTGGATGATACTCATGCATGCCATTCCACTGCAGTGTACAGCGTATTGTGTCACAGAAAATAATCACCACAATTTGGCTTTCTACCGCTAACTACAGTGAACTTGCATGGTGATTTTCTTCAAGCCTTCTCATCAGAAGAGGTTTCTCTCAAGGTGTTAACTTCTGTGGATGGCCTGGATGTCTTGATCGTTACAGTTCCATCTCTGTTACATTTTTGTACCACTTTTGCTACAGTATTCTGACTGATGAGTAAAGCTTTGCTGATCTTCTTGTAGCCTTCACCTTTTCTGTGTAGAAAAAATAATTTTCTTTCTCAGCCCTTGTGACATTTGGTGCCATTGCCGACAGCTTGAAATGGGAGAGATTGTTCTTTGTTAAGTAACCCTTTTATAATCAACTGTCTGTTGGACACCTGTAGTGAAAAATTAGACTCACCTGTAGTTGAATTCTTGTTAATTAGGATTTTGTTGTCTAAGAATGTAGCTTTGCTCCTAAGACTTTCATTAGGGTGTATTCATTTTTGCAACATGGTCTTGAATGAATGTTAGGAAAAATACTTTGTGTACTATTCTGTTGTATAATGTTCCATAGAAAATGTTGATTCTGAAAGTAAAGTAAAGGTTTTCTGACAAATCTGTTGGGGTGTACTCATTTACTCCGAGCACTGTATACATAGCTTCACGCCTAAAATTTGCAACTGTTTCACCAGTCTTGCAACCCAGACACCCCTACCAGAAAGCATAGCCAGGCCTCTGACTTTTGTCCAAATAAAAACAGTCAACCATAAGACAATTATGACTTTGCTGACATTTTTGCATAAAAAAATTGCAAACGGGACTTCTTAAGGCTCTCTTTCAACAATGGCTTTCTTCTTGCCACTCTTTAATAAATGCCAGATTTATGGAGTGCACGACTAATAGTTATCCTGTGGACCAATTCTCCCAACTAAGCTGTGGATCTCTGCAGCTCCTCCAGAGTCACCATGGGCCTCTTGACTGATTCTTTGAATAATGCTCTCCTTGTCTGGCCTGTCAGCTTAGTTGGACAGTCATGTCTAGGTAGGTTTTCAGTTGTGCCATACTCTTCCCATTTTCGGATGATGGATTGAACAGTGCTCCGTGAGATGTTCAAGGCTTGGGATATTTTTTTTTTATAACCTAACCCTGCATTAAACATATCCACAACTTTATCCATGACCTGTCTGGTCTGTTCCTTGGCCTTCATGATGCTGTTTGTTCACGAATGTTCTCTAACAAACCTCTGAGGGCTTCACAGAACAGCTGTATTTATACTGAGATTAAATGACACACAGGTGGGCTCTATTTACTAATTAGGTGACTTCTGAAGGCAATTGGTTTCACTAGATTTTAGTTAGGGTCATCGGAGTAAAGGGGGCTGAAAACAAATGCACGCCACACTTTTCAGATATTTATTTTTAAAAAATGTTGAAAACCATTTATCATTTTCCTTCCACTTCACAATTATGTGCCACTTTGTGTTGGTCTATCACATAAAATCCCAATAAAATATATTTATGTTTTTGGATGTAACATGACAAAATGTGGACAATTTCAAGGGGTAGGAATACTTTTTCAAGGCACAGTAACTACTGACATTTAAAAATAAGATACCAACCAATGCCGGAGTGTCCTGCGTTTCTTGCCACAGCCAGTTCCTCTTCCCCGATGCCACCATTTTAGAGATGTGAGCCGACGGTGACTCCTGGGAAATCACAGCTGGCTCCCCATTACTCATGTGCAAGATTGTGTGGCACTGCAGGACTAGTCCTGCAGTCTCCTGGGATGTGTGTTGTCTCCTATTAAGGCTGCAGGCAGGGGAACGACGGTAGGGGGTGTGCCTAGGTACATGTCATTCTCACCTAGCTGAGAATTAAGGAAGTGGGAGTGGTTTCTGTCAAAGAAAAAGGTGCCCACTCCCGATTAAAAAAATGTAAAAAGTGTTAGGCCATGGAGTTGGGAGTTGAATAAGTGGCACTTTCCCTTTTGAGTAATGGTCCGCTTTAAGCGTACACTCTCTCCCAGCCTTAATATTGAAGTACAGGGTATTACAAGGCATTAAGAGAGGAAATTCAAACTGTAATTAAATATATAAATTATATTTTTTATTGAAGCCATATTTAATTTAAAAAATTTTTTTCAACATCTGACAGTTCAGCTTAAAACAAAGTAAAGTATAATGTTAATTAACCCTTTTACGGACATTGTGGTAAGTCCTACAGTAGGGAGTAATAAAGAATGTAAACAAGCTCACCATAACTGTAGTCGATCTTTTTTTTTTTTACTTTATTCAGTGACCAACATGCTTTGTGGTAGCTGAAAGAACATACAGTAAATACTGGATAATAATGCCAAAGCCATGCAGTGCAAGGTCTTACCTGGATACTGTTTTGGAGTAAGCTCTAATTTATGGGAAAGCTGCAGAGCACCAGTTGTGTTATCTATTGTATATACCAGCACAGTGCCACTGTGGACAGAGAGAAATATGTAATTGGTTAGTCTCATAGACAGCGAATGCGTAACACAAGTTTAATAAGTTGTATTATGTTGGCTTTAAAACTTCTACCCAAATACCTTGTGATGACTAAACACATTTAAACATAGTTAAACATCATGGGGATGGCAAAATTGTGCAGATTTAAACAGAACCAGTCACAACTGTGTTAGGGTGAGTTCACAATCTATTTAAAACGAAGACTTAAATTTTGTGGTTAGATCTGAGAAAACCCCACTATGTGTTTTGTGTTCCATTTCCACAGCATGCCTAAAAAAAAAAAAAAGTAAATATTTTTTACCTTTTCTATGTCTGAGTAAAATGTGTCATTGCTAAATGTTAGCATTTCTCATTAAGATCAGTGTGATCTGTCTCAATCGCTGGTTTGGGGGGCTGGCTGAGTCCAGTTCTCACTAACATACAATTTTTAAATATTTATTTCAAGTTACACTAGGTGAATGGGGACATGTAACAAATTTAAAGTAGTTAGAACCTCAATTTGTCTGCAAAATTGGAAATAACCTTTAAACACAATAGCACATATATGTTAACAGTTAACAGAACACAAAACAAAGCATGAACAGACTCTTAGATAACATCAAGTAAGATTTGCACAGACCGAAATCTAGTGCTCCTAGGGGTCAGCATAGTTTAGATAGGATTTTTTTTTTTTTTAAATGCCTATTTTTTTAATTAGTATCTGTGGCAGTATGTTTTAGGTAGTTAAAAAAGCAAAATGTGCACTGTTGTTTTGGGCCCTACTGTGGATACATACAACAAACAACATACATATGTGTGTGTTATCGCTGCGATGATCAGGAGTAGGAGAATCTATTTTGGATTGCTCTTTGGTGAGAAGTTATGGTAATAGTAAGAAATATACAATTAAGTTAAAAATATTTTTTTTTTTTACTATTTTCTACTATTTGGGCCAGTTTTTCTTTGATAACGCAAAAAAAAAAAAAAAAAAAAAAAAAAAAAAAATCAGGAGATATCCATTACAATTTAACATTAAATGAAAACCCTAACACTAAATGAATTTGTTCTAAAAAAAATAATGTATAATTCACCCAGATACACAAAGTAGTTGAGATCATATGTAGTTTTATTAACAAATGTGAAAGCTGCGAAATTGGGTCTGGGCATTAAAGTTTGTTTTACCCTTGGTCATGGGGGTGGAAAAGGGAAAACAAACACAATCCCCTCTGCGTACTCTATGTACATTGAAGGCATTTTAATAAACTTTGTTGCAGATTGCTACCTGTTTCTGCTCTGAAAAAAAAACTGAAAAACTCTTTGTGTAGAGTAATGGGAGAGACGTTTTCATTATTAATCAGCTGATGATGTACTTGCAAGGCTCAAATGAGGAAAGTTGCCAGGCTGGCATTCCTTTAGAAGTGTTTAACCTTTTGGGAGTATCTCACTAAAAGCAATTTTTGTTGCAGAGGATGCCTAAAATATGATTTGTATTCTTGTGGAAAATTCTGGGAAATTCAGTGAGCCAATCACACTAGCAGGAAATGACATTTCTGACCAATGAATTGCCAATCAATGTAAATGATGTTACACCAATTGTGTATAGAATGCCTTCAGGTTGCCATACTGCATTTAACTTTACAGAAAATTACAGAGCAGCAGATTGAAAAGGAAAGGTCATTTTTAATAACATTCACCTACAATATGGCTAGTGTAGCAATTGTATATGCTATACTTTTTTTTTAGTCCAGGGGAACTTTGACATTTTTCACTTACATGTTAAATTCAGCATTTTTGTTTTAACCTAGAATTACCCTAGAATAACCTAGAACCCAAAAATATTGCATATTTTCTGAAAACAGAGACCCTGGAGAGTAAAATGGTGGTTGTTGCCTATTTTCTGTTGCATATTTGAGAAGGAATTTAGAAAACACTTATTTCCAGGAAAAAATATATTTAAACAAATTTTAGTGCACAACATAAAGCTCTTTTTTTTTAAATATTTAGATGATGTTGCACTTTTTTCATTTATCTACCGTTGTGTTCAAAATAATAGCAGTCAGACATCACTAACCTGATCAATCACCGTTTTTGGTAGAAATGATATTTCTACATGGCAAATAATTTACTAGCAGGTGTTGTAGAGTAATAGAAATCCAACAGACCCAACAGTCATGACATGTATGCTGCTGATTCTGTGTAATTGAATCACTAACTGAAAGGGGCATGTTCAAAATAATAGCCGTGTGGAGTTCTATTAGTGAGGTCATTCATTCTTTGAAAAACAGGTGGCAATTATTGCCCTTATTTAAGGAAGGAAGGCAGCAAATTTTGTACATGCTGGTTACAGTGCATTTCTCTCTGAAATTCTGAGGAAAATGGGTCGTTCCAGACATTGTTCAGAATAACAGCGTACCTTGATTAAAAAGTTGATTGGAGAGGGGAAAACATATAAAGAAGTGCAGAAAATGATAGGCTGCTCAGCTAAAATGATCGCAAATGCTTTAAAATGGCAACCAAAACCTGAAAGACGTGGAAGAAAGCAGAAAAACTACCATTCGAATGGCTAGAAGACAAGCCAAAATGGCAAGGACTCAACCAACAATCAGCTCCAGGAAGATCAAAGAAGGTCTAAAGTTACCTGTGAGTACTGTTACAATTAGAAAACGCCTATGTGAAGCCAAGCTATCTGCAAGAAGCCCCCGCAAAGTCCCACTGTTGAAAAAAAGACATGTGCTGAAGAGTTTACAATTTGCCAAAGAGCACATTGACTGGCCTAAAGAGAAATGGCGCAACATTTTGTGGACTGATGAAAGTAAGATTGTTCTTTTTGGGTCTAGTGACCAGAGACAGTTTGTCAGACGACCCCCAAACACTGAATTCAAGCCACAGTACACTGTGAAGACAGTGAAGCATGGTTGCGCAAGCATCATGATATGGGGATGTTTCTCATACTACGGTGTTGGGCCTATTTATCGCATACCAGGGATCATGGATCAGTTTGAATACATCAGAATACTTGAAGAGGTCATGCTGCCTTATGCTGAAGAGGAAATGCCCTTGAAATGAGTGTTCCAACAAGACAACAACCCAAAACACACCAGTAAATGTGAAACACCTTGGTTCCAGACCAACAAGATTGACGTTATGGAGTGGCCAGCCCAATCCCCGGATCTTAATCCAATAGAAAACGTGTGGGGTGACATCAAAAATGCAGTTTCTGAGGCAAAACCAAGAAATAGAGAAGAACTGTGGAATGTAGTCCAATCATCCTGGGCTGGAATACCTGTTCATAGGTGCCAGACGTTGGTTGACTCCATGCAACAGAGATGTACAGCAGTTCTCAGAAACAGTGCTTATACAACTAAATATTAATTAAGTGATTCAAAGGAAAGCAAAATCTTCAAACATGTTTCAGTTTATATAGTGAATGTTTGAGTTTGTAAAGAAGAATACGAACACTGCTATTTTTTTGAACAGTCTAATATTCACTTTTCTTCAATTTTTTTTAGAGGAACAACACAAATTGATATATTTTTCTTCATGTTTTGATTTGGAATAGAATGTGTAGTGTTCCCAATGCATTTGTGTGTATGGAAATAAAAGCTATTAGAACGATTTTGAGCTTTATTCACTTTTTTCAACACACTGCTATTATTTTGAACACAACTGTATATTGGTATCAAGATGTGAACAAGACCCCTTATGATCTATTAGACCCAGGATTATCTCTCCTGCCCTTCAAAGCATCTGATAAAACACAGATAGTGTCTAACTAAGATGCTTCCCTGACTGTAACGGACAGGGAAAGACAGCTCTGAGAAACTGGGAAGTGACAAAATCCTTTTCGCTTCTGGCTTCATTCATCACAGAGATAATCAGGGAATAGATGTTCCTCTATCTCCTCTGTAGGCAGCCAACCTGACTGCATACAGCGGTCCCCGGCTCCCCAGTGGTGGGCGAAGCTAGGAGGGGGAAGAGGCTCTGCAGTGCTATAAAAGGGATTCCACCACCCAGATCACTTTTACACGAAAGCCCATAGTTGGCTGTAAAATAAGATACATGGATCATGGCTGCAGCCATGATCCTGGTATAACTACTTGCTGTCCAGGGCGTTTATATTCTTATGCTGGATGGCAAGTGATTAATCTCAAGTGACGTTGCCGTCCAAAAATTAAAAAAAAAGAAGCTTTCTGCATTGGAACACTTTTATTAATCATCTGCAAGATTGACGCGGACTCCAATCTTTACTCAATCAACTTGAGAAACCAAAAAAAAATGCCAGTATCTGGTGCACTTTTGGGTGCAACAGAAGCCTTATCTGCTTTGTACTTTGTGGTTCCATCAACAGAAGCAGAAAACACAGGCATCCGTCATGTCTAGAAGTGATAGATGCTGTAGTTCCTTTGTGAATACTATAAACCATTACACTTACAGCTGGATTAGGAAAACATGCCTACTAGAAAATGAATATACTGTATACTGACTGACACTGTTGCTGCAGTAAGACATAGTTTTAAAGCCACACCATGATTACAGCAAACAGCGATATCCTTAATAGAGGTGATAAGAAGAACAATTTGGAGCTTGGCATGGTTGGAATGCTTTAGATCAACCTCTTAATTTATGTTTAAAATTTGTGATTGATTCAACTACAAAATGAACAGTGATTAACTGTGAAGAAGAATGAATTCCATCCTTGCAGAATAAAACTTACCTAGCACATCCAAATGCCATCAATCTATATTTATTGTTAACTGCCACACATGTTCCATCGACAACATCTGGTGCCCAAACTCCATGGACTTGCTGTAAAGGCAGAAACAACTGTCACACATTATTCACTAAATTACAATATTTGATCATGTGTTACCAGAAAACAAAAGGTGCCTTTTGCAATTCTACACTGTCATATCAATCAGAT